TACTTTCCGAATTATGAGGCTTGAAATCGTTTCGTAATTTTACATAAACTGTAAAATATCTTGTAAAATATTCGTTTTTCGATTATCTTATCTTATACTAATACTTTTATGTACAAAATAATGAGAATAATCAATTGGTGTAAAGGAAAAACACAGTTGTTTTTAAGAAAAAATATGGAATTGTTAATTGCAAATTACATATTTTTTCTTCAAAACAATTATGTGTTTTCTTTACACAAATTGATTCCTCTTATTATTTTGTACATAAAAGTATTAAGCTAAGATAATCAAAAAATAAATATTTTACAAGATATTTTACATAAACCATAAAATATCTTGTAAAATATTCATTTTTCGATTATCTTACCTTAATACTTTTATGTACAAAATAATGAGAGGAATCAATTGGTGTAAAGAAAACATACAGTTGTTTTTAAGAAAAAATATGGAATTTGCAATTAACAATTCCATATCTTTTCTTAAAAGCAACTGTATGTTTTCTTTACACTAATTGATTCCTCTCATTATTTTGTACATAAAAGTATTAAGGTAAGATAATCGAAAAATGAATATTTTACAAGATATTTTACTATATGTAAAACTACTATATGTAAAATTAAGAAATGACTTCAAGCCTCATAACTCGGAAAGTACTTAATGAAAACTGACTTATAGTGTTTTGGAAAGCTCACGATATGAGCTACAAGAATATGCAAAAGTATATAGGGTGTCCCATTTAGAAACTTGAAGGTGACCTTCACGTGACCTTCAGGTGTCTCTTTAAGCTCAAACTAATGACATCATCTTATGTCCCCCTTTAAGCCATATAACTTTTGTTTGAAACATTTTTTTCTACAATCAAAATTAAAAAAGTTATTCGATAAAAGTGATCGATTAAAATGGGACACCCTGTATATACATGTTTATACATTTACGTAATTTGCTATGATTGAAAAATTTGTATCCTGTTACAGTGGCCAATTACTGTCGTACCTTTATTAACGTATAATGTACAACAATACAGCGGTGTGATATATCAGATAACTTGCGAATTAAAACATAGACGAAAACGAGGTGGTCAGGATGTCATAGCCGCGGGTGGTCGGTACGACAAGATGCTGATGTCATTCAGAAAGGTCTTGGAACGCACCGGAATGGCAAGTAAGGAAACGAAGCAATATGGAGCCGGTATCAGCATATCATTAGACAAATTGGTATCCGTTGTCACCGAAGCGTGCGAGAATCTAAATGGTGAGAGTAAATGTGGCATCGATGTGGCTGTATGTTGCGAGAGCAGTCCAGGAAGCGAGGGGAGAAGAGAGAAGGAGATGATTAATATATTACGAGAAATCTGGTTATTAGGATTGAAAGTAACGACACTGGATCTGTGTACTATGGAAGAAATATTAGAGTACTGCCGTGAAAACTCTATAAGTCATATAGTATTATTAAGAAACGGTGCATTAAAGGTGCAAACGTGGGAGAGGGATCGATTCCAAGAAAAGAAATGGAACACCATACAGGACATTATCGAGTATTTACAACGGCAATCGGAAAGCGCATTACCGATATTAAATAGATCTGAAAGTAAAGTGAGCGCGAATGATGTATCGATAGTGCAGAGTAATCCGGTCAATGCCAATATTAATTTTATCCTCTCCGAGCGCGATAAGCTATCCGGAAGTGGCAGGAGAAATTTTAAAAATACGATATTAGCACAAATGTCATTCTACTTGCAAAGAATATCGCATAAAGTCCCTGTAGAAATCTTTGCAGTTTTTTTGGAAATGTCTGTTATAAGAACCATCATCAGTTTTCTGGAAATTGATGAGGACGAACAGATATTTCAAAAGAGCATTCAAATCGTTATAGATAAGTGAGTATAAAATATTACCTATATTTATTTATTCTATATATATATACAGGGTGTCCCATTTTAATCCATCCAATCGAATATCTCGAAAACCAAGCTTGAAAGAGAAAAATGTTTCAGACAAAAGTTGTATGGTTTCTAGGGGGACATAAGATGGTACCATTGGTTTGACCTTGAAGAGTTATTTGAAGGTCACATGAAGGTCACCTTCAATTTCTTAAATGGAATCTACATTTTCTCATTACATATTCTTGTAGCTTATCTCGAGAACTTTCCAAAACACTATAATAAAATATTTTTTTATTGAGTACTTTTCGAGTTATGAGGCTTGAAATCATTTCTTAATTTAACATAAACCGTAATATATCTAGTAAAATATTCATTTTTCGATTATCTTGCTTTAATACTTTTATGTACAAAATAATGAGAGGAATCAATTGGTGTAAAGAAAACACATAGTTATTTTTAAGAAAAAATATGTAATTTGCAATTAACAATTACATATTTTTTCTTTGAAACAACTATGAGTTTTTTTTACACCATTGATTTCTCTCATTATTTTGTACATAAAAGTATTAAAGCAAGATAATCGAAAAATGAATATTTTACTAGATATATTACGGTTTATGTTAAATTAAGAAATGATTTCAAGCCTCATAACTCGAAAAGTACTCAATAAAAAAATATTTTATTATAGTGTTTTGGAAAGCTCTCGAGATAAGCTACAAGAATATGTAATGAGAAAATGTAGATTCCATTTAAGAAATTGAAGGTGACCTTCATGTGACCTTCAAATAACTCTTCAAGGTCAAACCAATGGTACCATCTTATGTCCCCCTAGAAACCATACAACTTTTGTCTGAAACATTTTTCTCTTTCAAGCTTGGTTTTCGAGATATTCGATTGGATGGATTAAAATGGGACACCCTGTATATATATATATATATTTATATTTATATATATTTATATTTATATATTTATATTTATTATTATACAGAGTATCCCAAAAGTTCCGGACCGGTCGAATATTTCATAAACTATGCACTTTAAAAAGAAATGTTTCAAACAAAAGTTGTATGGCTTGAAGAGGGCCATCAGATAGTGGCAATGATTTGACATGGGAGAGTCATTTGAAAGTCACGTGAAGATCAACGTCAATTTCTTAAATGGAACCCCCTATTTTTTATTACATATTCGTGTAGTTTATCTCGAGAGCTTATCTTTCCAAAACACTATAATAAAGTATTTCTTCATTGAGTATTTTTCGAGTTATGAGGCTTGAAATCATTTCTTAATTTTGCATATACCATAAAATATCTAGTAAAATATTCATTTTTCGATTATCTTACCTTAATACTTTTATATACAAAATAATGAGAGAAATCAATTGGTCTATAGAAAAAACATAGTTGTTTTTAAGAAAAAAATATGTAATTTGCAATTAACAATTACATATTTTTTTTAAAAACAACTATGTGTTTTCTTTACATCAATTGATTCCTCTCATTATTTTGTACATAAAAGTATTATTAGGGTAAGATAATCGAAAAATGAATATTTTTTACTAGATATTTTATGGTTTATGCAAAATTAAGAAATGATTTCAAGCCTCATAACTCGAAAAGTACTCAATGAAGAAATACTTTATTATAGTGTTTTATAGTGTTTTATAGTGTTATAGTGTATTATAGTGTTTTGGAAAGCTCTTGAGATAAGCTACATGAATATGTAATAAAAAATAGGGGGTTCCATTGAAGAAATTGACGGTGATCTTCACGTGACTTTCAAATGACTCTCCCATGTTAAATCATTGCCACTATCTGATGGCCCCCTTCAAGCCATACAACTTTTGTTTAAAACATTTCTTTCTAAAGTGAATAATTTATTAAATATTCGACCGGTCCGGAATTTTTGGGACACCCTGTATATTATATTTATTTATTCTATATATTATTGAATTATTAAAATCTAAATTAATAAAATATGAATTATAAACTAAAATATAAACTAATTGTATTAACAGAAGATGTACATAAAATCTTACATTTATTATAAACATGTATATTTTTACAGACATCCACGACATAAGAAATACATTAAACAAATATGTGAGGAAATGAAGGAATTACGGAATGAAAAATCAAAGCCTGTAGAGATATTATATAGTTTAATAGATAGTGCATACATGGCCCTCTTATAAATGATATTATCGAAATCGAAAAATCTATTTTTTCATAATCATATGAAACCATTGAATGATTGAATGTATGCTATCGATGTAAGAGTAGATAATATTATATAAGCATTTTTTGTACCGCATTATATATATTTCTAAGTGTAAAACATTGAATAAAAAAACGTTTAATGAGTAAAATTTTGTCTTATAATTGGAATGTACAACGACTTATATAATGCAGATTTCAATTCAAAGGTCAAGGAGGACAGCTGTTTATTGCAACGACACGATATATTATTTTTATTTCAGCGCTATTACACGATAAAAATATAAGAAATACGAAATATTGTATTGAGTACAAGTATTTTTTTTATTCCTTATGTATATGAAGAATGATTGAAGATAAATATGATTATATACTTCACATGTGTTATGAACCTACGAACATATATTTATAAATTATATATTTTACAGATATATTTTTAATTACATATTTAATAATTATATATATTAAATATTATATATTTAATAATTATTATTAATAATATAAATATATATTTTACAGATATATTTTATCGTCATATTTTCAATATTCAATTTGATGACGTCGTTTGTTTTAGTTGTTTTAAATATCAGTCTTGAGAAAATAAATTTTGAAAATTGAACGAGACGCATTCATATATCAGTTTGAATTATTTAGTTGCAATTATACAATCTATAATACAGGAGACAACATTTCTAAAATTATATTATTTTAGGTATATTAATAGCATTTCTAAGATTATATTATTTTAGGTAAATTATTATTCTCTCATATTTATCGCTTCTTTTTTTTACTCAATGAATGACGTGAGCACGTTGCTTATTTAAATCCACTATTACCGCCGTATCCATTACCCTCTTTTAATCAATACAACTTTGTGATACTATATATAACAACGATGGATCTTGGAGACATGCGTATGTTGCTAGAGAATACTATTCTAATTTTAGAAAACGGCCTATCCAAGAGTAACACATTTCTTTCTGACTTCTAAACTTAATCAAGAAAAAGATAAGCACGGTATCGCAGAGTTATCTCTCTAAAAGACAATATATAATACTTTCATAATAATTTGTGTATTATTCTATAGAATATCAAGGGAGGAATCTTAACAAGCATGCGTTCTATACGGTTACTATCCGGGTACGATATGCCTACAGTGGGATTGGGAACGTGGCAGGTACAATATCAGAGTGTGAAAAAATAATGATGCCTCATTAATATAAATTTACATATTTTTATATTATTATTAAATTAATTATTATGTATTTTTTTCCAGGCTAAACCGGAAGAAATCGAGAGAGCTGTGAGCACCGCTCTGGAATGTGGCTACAGGCATATCGATACAGCAACAAATTATAATAATGAAGAGGCAATTGGCCAAGCTTTAAAAAAATGGTTTGAAAAAGGTGGTACTAGGAAGGAACTTTTTATCACGACCAAGGTAACGTATCGCGATGAGAATTCAATACAATCGCGATTTTACAACTAAATATTACAAGTAAATATATATTATATATAATTATTATATTATATTATATTATTATTATATTATATTATACATAATATTACAACGCTGGTCGTATTTTATTTTAAGCGCAATCGGTTCACTTTGAAAGTTGCCTTCTAATGCTTTCAGCTGCCGCATTTTGGCAATCGACCATCCGACGTAGAAAAATTCATCAAGTTATCGTTGGAGAAACTCGGATTGGATTACTTAGATATGTATCTTATTCATTTGCCGTTTGCGTTTAAGTTTGACGAAAAGACAGGTGGTGCAGCAACTCATGAAGATGGAAGTTACGTACTCGACTTTGATACAGATCCTGTCTCAGTATGGAAGGTGAGTATCTAGAATCTAGGAATTATCTAAGATATTATTACATTATAAAGAAATCTTTGAAAAATCAAGATTACATTGCAGGAAATGGAAAAGCAAGTTGAATCAGGTCGAACCAGATCCATAGGTTTGAGCAATTTTAATGAAGAGCAAATTTTGACTGTTTGGGAAAACGCACAGATTAAACCAAGTAATCTACAGGTAAGTCATAAATTTTACATCTATCAAATTTTTGTGGAATAATCTATTAAATGAATTTAAAAAAAAATATTTGTTAGGTGGAGTTACATGCGTACATGCAGCAAAAGTCGATTCGAGATTTATGCAAAAAATATAATATTGTCATAACGGGTTACAGTCCATTGGGTTCTCCAGCTGCTAAGACGCACTTTGAGACAAAATATAAATATACTTTAGAAAAATCACCTGACTTATTAAACCATCCGGTTGTAAAAGATATTGCTGTGAGACATAAGAAGACAGCAGCGCAGGTCTTATTACGTTATTTGCTGCAGCTGGACATTGTAATTATTCCCAAGAGCTCGTCTCCCGAGAGAATCAAATCAAATATAGATTTATTTGATTTTGACTTATCAGAGGATGATATGAAAGCCTTGAGTACTTTAGATGAAGACACTAATGGAAGAATTTTTAACTTCTTATTTTTTAAAGGGTAAGTTAGAATAAGGATAATATTTTAATTTACTTATCAAATGTATCAAATGTATTAAAAAGAGAATCCAAACATTCTATAATACATATAAAAATCATATTTATATAGTACTTAGATGCACATTGGTGTAATGGTAATATAATATAATACATTAACTATATAAAATTTTGTCAGTTTTTTAAAAAATTTGTTGTGAAAAAAATAAAAAAAATAAAAATAAATGATCATTTTTTAATTTTGCATAACTATATTTAAATATATTGTATATAACAATTATATTATTTGTTTCAGAATTCAAGATCATCCACATTATCCATTTAAAAACGAACTTCCATAATTGTAAATTAATATACGAATTATTAGTTTTTTAATAAAATAGTTGAAAAAAAAATTATGTAACATTCGCAACAAAAGCACAACATTATACGTATATAAATTAGGGACGTTTTTTTTTCAATGCAATCTGTACAACATTTTACGTTGCAAACGATGTTGGAGTTCACCACGGCGTATCATTGTATGTATGACTTTGTAAATAGCTCGTTCTGGAAATGATTGCTTAAGAAAATCCTTCACTATATTTTGTTCAGATACTTGATGCCCAATAGGAAATCTGCCTTTCAATTGCTTTTCGATGCGCGACAATATTTCATGATCCTCTTCTGAGGTAAATCCTTCTGCTCCTACATGTGTAACATAAATAACATTTATATAAGCAGAGTATTTATATTGTATTTTCTTTAAGCTATATGTATCACGTCAAATAAGCTATTACATATTTAAAATATATAAACTATAAATTATTCAAATATTTTATATTATTCTGTATTTTTATTATACAGGGTGTAACAAAAAATTGGGACACCGGATTATCTCGAAAAATATAAGTTGTATAAAAAAATGTTTTAGACAAAAGTTGTAGGACTTGAAATGATCTATTTACTGATCTTATTAGTTTGCCCTTGGACAATCGTTTGAAAGTCACATGAAGGTCATCTTTAATTTTTTAAACGGAACTCCCCATTTTTTTTTGCTTACTCTTACAGCTTATCTTGACAGCTTTCCAAAACACTATAATAAAGTATTTTTTCGAGTACTTTTCGAGTTATGAGACTTGAAATAGTTTCTTAATTTCACATAAAAAACATAGTTGTTTTTATTACTTTCATATAAAAAACATAGTTGTTCTTAAGAAAAAATATATAGTTGTACATTGCAAATTACATATTTTTTCTTCGAAACAATTATATGTTTTCTTTACATCAAATGATTTCTCTCATTATTTTGTACATAAAAAATTTAGATAAGATAATAGAAAAATTAATATTTTACGGTTTATGTAAAATTAAGAAATTATTTCAAGCCTCACAACTCGAAAAGTACTTAATGAAAAATAACTTAATTAGTATTTTGGAAGAATTATAGTGTTTTGGAAAGAGATAAACTGCAAGAATATGTATTAAAAAATAGGGGCTTCCAATTAAAAAATTTAAGATGACCTTGTTCTGACCTTGGCCATCCAAGATCAAACTGATGAGATTAATAAATAGAACATTTTGAATTCTACAACTTTTATCTGAAACTTTTTTTGTACAACTTTTGTTGTACAACTCATATTTTTCGAAATAATTCGGATTGTTCCGATCTCTTTGTTACACCCTGTATAACTCTAAATATAACTCGAGAGAAAAGAGAAAGTAAAGCAATACTTTTTATTTAAATCTGAATATGTTAACATAATATTTTTCTTTTAATTTTATCAATTTGTAGCAAACCTGCTAACGATCCAGACATTGCTGCTTCTAATGTAGACACTTGAAAGAGCCTTAGAGCTTCGTTTATATGAAGTTCAGTAGCAAAGGGTTGCATCTGCATTTTGGCTAGAGCTTCGGAAATTCGGATAATAGCCTCAAGCTGCCGGACTGTTATAGGTATAGACAATCTTTTCTCAGAATTTTTTTCATGTTCTCTTGTACCAGCTCGCATCATCACATAACGATTTTTTAATTTTTCTGCTGCCTCTGCGCTGAGTCTTGGACCACAACGCCTATTGAAAAAGAAAAATACTAATAATAACAGGGATACATGTATTATACTATACAGGGTGCGCCAAAAATCTGGATACACCTAAATATTTCACAAACGGTGCATTTTAGAAAAAAATGTTTCAGGCAAAAATTGTTTGGTTTCGAGGGGACCAATGATGACCAAGATGGTACTATTGGTTTGACCTTGAAGAATCATTTGAAGGTCACGCGAAGGTCACTTCAATTTTTTTTAATGGAACACCCTATATTTTTATATATTCTTGTAACTCATCTCGAGATCTTTCCAAAACACTATAATAAAGTATTTCTTCATTGAATACTTTTCAAGTTACGAGGCTTGAAATAATTTCTTAATTTTACATAAACCATAAAATATCTAGTAAAATATTCGTTTTCCGATTATCTTACCTTAATACTTTTATGTACAAAATAATGAGGAATCAATTGGTGTAAAGAAAATATACAGTTGTTTTTAATAAAAAATATGGAATTGTTAATTGCAAATTCCATATTTTTTCTTAAAAACAACTGTATGTTTTCTTTACACCAATTAATTCCTCTCATTATTTTGTACATAAAAGTATTAAGATAAGATAATCGAAAAATGAATATTTTACAAGATATTTTATGGTTTATGTAAAATTAAGAAATGATTTCAAGCCTCATAACTCGAAAAGTACTTGATGAAAAAATACTTTATTATAGTGTTTTGGAAAGCTCTCGAGATAAGCTATAAGAATATGTAATGAAAAGTAGTAGGTTCCATTTAAAAAATTGAATGTGACCTTTATGTGACCTTCAAATGACTATACAAGGTCAAACCAATGGTACCATCTTATGGCCCCCTCGAAACCAAACAACTTTTGCCTGAAACATTTTTTTCTAAAATGCACCGTTTGTGAGATATTTAGGTGTATCCAGACTTTTGGCGCATCCTATATATTAAATTTACGCTTGTATGATTAAAAATGATAAAGTAAACCTACATTCTGCAATAATTAATGTATTTTTTAAGAATGTGTACAGGTATCTCTCCCTCTACCGATTGTTCTGTGATCTGACCAGCGTTGCAATGAATGTTCATAACGTGTTTGGCCAGAGTTATGTCCTTATTCTGTTCGTGTTCATCTTTAACAATGAATATCGTATCGAAACGTGACAATATCGTTGGCATGAAATCTATGTTCTCCTCTCCTTTTATATCATCCCAACGGCCAAAGACTGAATTTGCTGCTGCTAATACAGAACAACGCGTATTCAGAGTCGTCGTTATCCCCGCTTTTGCTATAGAGATCGTTTGTTGCTCCATGGCCTCGTGTATCGCCACTCTATCGTCCTCCTTCATCTTATCGAACTCGTCTATGCAAACAACTCCACCATCTGCGAGCACCATTGCACCACCTTCCATAACAAAATTTCTCTGAAAGCAATGATATTTCCCACTATATTAAAATAAATATACGTGATTTATCGTATTAAAAAGTTATTTCTTAATAAGAATGCTTACAGTCACTGGATCCCTCGATACGGATGCGGTCAGACCAGCCGCTGAGCTACCCTTTCCCGACGTATAAACAGCTATGGGGGCGACTTTTTCTACAAATTTCAATAACTGCGATTTTGCAGTACCTGGGTCACCTAACATCAAGACATTGATATCACCTCTCCTACATAAGCCATCCGGCATCAGTTTTCTGGATCCACCAAATAATAAACACGCGATAGCTTTCTTGATGTCTATTGCACCAAAAATACTAGGAGCTATGCTCTTTGCGATTCTCTCATATAGATTAGGATCTGCTGCTAAACGGGTGAAAAGATCTTCTTCTTCAGATGATACAGGTGGCTGAGTTCCTGCGATAAGAAGGACGATATTTTTCATGAAAATGCCTTGTTTTTTAGATTTATAGAATTATATCGATATTATTACCAATATTTGTATTTTCTCCATCTACAGAGATACCAAGAACTCGAATATATGGGGCTCGAACGCCTACTAATGTCTTTTCTCTGCCTGTACTTTTGCCACCTGTTTTAGACACCTTTTTAATGGAATATATCCCAAGAATCAAAACTCTATTACCAGGCACAACTCTGTCGCATAAATATCGATCGCAATATAATTGCAAATGCCTAGGCATTTCACCCTGTGGTATATGATCCGGTAATTCTTGAAGCTTTAATACTTGAAAATCCACACAACGGCATTTATCTGGCATTATAAAGAAAGGATCTAAAGGACATCTCGGTCGACCTGCTTGTTCTCTATACAGTAAGAAATAGATAAAAATTTATAATATAAAAATGTGTTACAAATAGTAAAATATTTTGTGAGAGAGAGAGAAAAGAATGCTGCTTACGTAGAACACTTTCTAGGTAACGCATATCCTTCCAAACCTGGCTTGATAGAAATGTTGACTTGAGTAACTTTACAAGAGCGACATTGTATTGCAATTTTTGTTGCCTTTGCTCTAATACCAGATGCAGAAACAATTATACCAGGAACCTTAACAAGCTTGGAAACAATATCTGGCTGCAATAGTAAAATGTAGCGGTGTAATTATATTTAACCAAATGCTTTATATTTTAAATTGCTAAATATATTCGCATATGTAATTTGACTTTTTGTTTAAATTTATAGCAGAAAATTTATATTTTCTGCAAATTGAATTTCATATACAGTGTCCCATTTTAATCGATCACCCTGAATGACTTTTTTAATTTTGATTGTAGAAAAAAATGTTTCAGACAAAAGTTGTATAGTTTTAAGGGGTATATAAGATGGTGCCATATTTTGACCTTGAAGAGTCACCTGAAGTTCACCTCCAACTTTTTAAATAGGACACCTTATGTGCTTTTACATATTCTTGTAGCTCATCTCGAGAGCTTTCCAAAACACTATAATAAAGTATTATTCTATTGAGTGCTTTTCAAGTTACAAGGCTTGAAATCGTTTCTTAATTTTACATATATTGTAAAATATCTTGTAAAATATTCATTTTTTGATTATCTTACCTTAATACTTTTATGTACAAAATAATAAGAGGAATCAATTGGTAAGAAAACATAATTGTTTCGAAGAAAAAATATGTAATTTGCAATTAACAATTACATATTTTTTCTTAAAAATAACTGTGTTTTCTACATCAATTAATTCCTCTCATTATTTTGTACATAAAAGTATTAAGGTAAGATAATCGAAAAATGAATATTTTACAAGATATTTTACGGTTTATGTAAAATTAAGAAATTATTTCAAGCCTCATAACTCGGAAAGTACTTAATGAAAACTAACTTAATTATAGTGTTTTGGAAAGCTCTCGAGATGAGCTACAAGAATATGTAAAAGCACATAGGGTGTCCCATTTAAAAAGTTGGAGGTGACCTTCACGCGACCTTCAGGTGATTCTTCAAGGTCAAACTAATGGCACCGTCTTATGTGCCTCTTAAAACCATACAACTTTTGTCTGAAACATTTTTTCCTACAATCAAAATTAAAAAAGTTATTCAGGGTGATCGATTAAAATGGGACATCCTGTAATATTACCTTCATTCCTCTCAGGGAGCTTGGATGAGCATCCGAGCACAGCAACACCTGAATATCCTCCACTTTCTCTTCACCTTCGGGCCGAGGTGTTGTAAGTTCATCTGCAACATCTTTTGCAGCCTCCTCTAGAATCGGCAAATACTCTGTTGGAAGTTTTTGAATCTTCTCTGCGAGGGACTCATCAAAAGCTGCCAGATCTTCCAAATTAATCTCTAGCCAGTATTGACCAAGATTGTAATTACGTTTTAGAGTATCCCTGATCACAACAAATCAAATGCATTAGACCAAAAAAAATCATGGAAAGATCAGAAAAATGCAAATCAAATGCATTAGATCAAAAGAATCATGGAAAAATCAGAAAAACACCAGACATAGAAAGAATGAATTAAATTAAATAATCAATTTAATAATCTGAAATATTTCACTCACCGATATTTATAATTGAAGTTACCCTCGTGAAACTGTCGAATGAATTCCTTAAACTTCTTCTTTGAGTGTTGGAGATTTACGCGGTTTTCATTAGCCTCGTCTATCGCAAAATTATCCGAGAAGAACACTCCTGGATCGTCAAAGCCTTCCATGTCACGTGCGAATATTTATTTAAATTGAAAGCTCAAACGAAATTGCAAAATCAACAAGTATGTCGCGTCGTGAAAACCTGTTTCGGCGGGAAACTTTCAAGGTACCTGTAAAGCCGATACACATGACCTATTAGGGCGATATTTCATGAAACGATTAAAGGTGCAATTTCATTGACGCTAAAAAGTAGCATCAACCATTGGTTGAACAAAGAAGTAAGTAGTTGCTTCTTTGTTCAACCAATGGTTGACGCTACTTTTTAGCGTCAATGAAATTGCACCTTAAAGATGCGGCCTCATTGACGCTAAAAAGTAGCGTCAACCATTGGTTGAACAAAGAGGTAAGTATAGTTGCTTCATTGTTCAACCAATGGTTGACGCTACTTTTTAGCGTCAATGAGGCCGCACCTTAAGGGCCTATCCAGACAAACTTGCATAGGTGCATATGCATAATATAAAACCATATAGACCAATGAGCATCGAGTATTATGTTATGTAAGTCAATATAGCGATTTAATACTCGATGCTCATTGGTCCATATGGTCTTATGTTATGCATATGCACCTATGCAAGTTTGTCTGGATAGGTCCTAAGGCCGGTATTTATAGTCCGATCTTATATTTGAGATCGTCTTAAGTTTGAGCTTGAAATGCTACGCAGCTATTTGATTGGTTGAATGAGGTCTTAAGTCAACCCCCAAGCAGACTTAAGGCCGCAGCACACACTTTTGCATAAGCGCATAACCATAAGCATAAGGAAATTGATTGGTCCTCAAGTATATGCATAAGAAAATGAACCAATCAATTTTCTTATGCTTATGGTTATGCGCTTATGCAAAAGTGTGTGCTGCGGCCTTTAGGGTCTATCCAGACAAACTTGCATAGACGCATAACCATATGCATAAGGAATTTGATTGGTCCAATTCTTTATTTTATTGCTTATAGTCCAATCAAATTCCTTATGTATACGCTTATGCATCTATACAAGTTTGTCTGGATAGACCCTTAAGACGATCTTAAATATAAGATCGGACTATAAATACCGGCCTAAGTCTCCTTAAAATCTCATTGTAAACGCCGCTTTAGACCGGGTCTACGGCCGGTATTCATAGTCCGATCTTACATTTAAGATCTTCTCAAATTTATCTTTAGATACTTTGTGGCCAATGAAAACGTCCGTACAGTATCTAAAGATAAACTTGAGAAAATCTTAAATGTAAGATTGGACTATGAATACCGGCCTACAATAGACAATTTAAGACCTAAGCCTTAAGAAATTGACCAATCACACCAGTCATCACCAGTCGAGTATGAAGAGAATACTCGACTGCGATTGGTCAATTTTTTACGGCTTAGGGCTTAAATTGGGAGCGTTCCATTTGACCACGTTGCGATTGACCACAGCTAGAGAACCTCTAGGAGAGAGAATGGACAACTGATCATGTGACATGTGATCAAGCTTTTTCATGATTGGCTGGCAGAAAATGTATCAATTTTAGCTATTGCGACGCCAATGCAAAATATGATGACACACAAATAGGTTAATATTGTGTGTCATGTGTGTCCTATTTGTGTGTCATCATATTTTGCATTGGCGTCGCAATAGCTAAAATTGATACATTTTCTGCCAGCCAATCATGAAAAAGCTTGATCAGTTGTCCATTCTCTCTCCTAGAGGTTCTCTAACCACAGCCAATTATATCAACCTGTGCCTCGGGTAACCAGCAACGATTAACCAATTAGAGAGTCCTATTTTGAATTGGCCAATTGGCGACGTGGTCAATCGGGTGCAACCCCTTAAATTATATATTGTAGATCCGGCCTTATGGGAGCAGAGTGGGAACTTCAATGCAATCTAAATTTGGCGTAATATCCCATCTATATATGTGCTTCTCGCTCTGTGCTTATAAAACGAACATGATATTCGATTTCGATGAGGAAAAGAAAAAAAAGTATGTAACACTGTATGCGAAAAATATACGCGGTAGATAAAAAAAGAGGCTTTATTCCTCGATGGTGATACGCGCGAAGCAAAGGGGTCAATTCTGATCGTCAATTCTGTCGAGTAAAATTAAACTTGCAAATATATAATATACCCAGTGTATTAAAAATGTACATTACTTATCTTCTTCCTAAAGCCCAGTGCAATTTGTAGTGATATGCATTCAGCAGCTGACAACAACTTAAAAAAATGTGATGCAAGAAAGAAAGATCAATGCCAAAGAGATTGGATGTATAAGATATGGTATGCGAGAACATGTGTATCTTTTGAAATCTGACGTCAATTGCGAGAACTGTCAAATCGGCGCGTTCGTATTTGTCACGTGTGTGTACGCTCATACATACGCATCTGTGCACAATATCGACTTCCCATTCGAGACGTATTATTTTTATAAGGATATTGATGTACAATCCCAGCAAAAAGTAGCTGAAAATCAATATTGACGAATATATCGACTTTTGATGTATTTTGAGTAAGAAATTGTGTGAAATATTACAATTTGATCTTAGCGCAGAAATGTATTTTTAATATTTATTGCGTTTTTACTGAAATATTCCGAATTTTGTTAATCGAAGTGATTAACTTTTGGCAGAGAATTTCGTCTTGTTACAGATACATGACTAACTTCATTGAATTATGTTTAATATCTTTTTAACCAGTTAGTACTCGTATAATATTATTTGACCAAATATTTTCTCTATATCTAAACTTTTGCAAATTTTAAACAAATGCTGAATATTATTTCCATGTTTTTTAATCATTTGAATCGACGTGGTTATACGTTTCCCATAAGAACACATGTTAATTTGGTGCAAATTAAAATCCTTATAACTTGTGAACGCTTTAATGAATCGATTTAAAAATTGTACTGAAGATTCTAAACATGTGTAAGGATATTCTGTACAATTTTCATTAAATTTTCAATATTTTGAAAATAGATACAAACATCCTTAAGTTAAAATAACTCGTTCGTCGTATGTCACTTATTGACAAACTAAAAGTGTTAAATAATTGACACAATACTTCACATTTATTTTTGTTATTGTGACTTTAAGTGTAATGTAAAAATAACATACAAATTAATTAAAAATTACATGAAAAAATAGTTACAGAAGCTCGTAAGTATTGTTGTAGGACATTAACTTATAATAGTAATTATTTTAACTTAAATTATTTGTAATAGAAACATTTGACTTTAATTTTGATTATATTGTATGTTAAAGTTCAAGATTATTTGAAGATTTACTTTAACTTTTCTTAGAATGTTAAACTAGACATGAGTTTTTGTCATTTGAATCGACGTGGTTATACGTTTCTCATAAGAACACATGTTAATTTGGTGCAAATTAAAATCCTTATAACTTGTGAACACTTTAGTGAATCGATTTAAAAAATGTACTGAAGATTCTAAATATATGTAAGAACATTCTGTACAATTTTTATTAAATTCTCAATATTTTCAAAATAGGGACAAAACATCCTTAAATGTACTGCCACACTTTTCTGACACAGCTGTCTGTGTTTTTTCCATTTATAATCTGACTCGATATTTGCATTTGCAATAAAACACAAGACATTAATTTAATGGAACAATTCAACACGAGAATGTCACTTCGCACATTTGACTATAATATTTTTTAATCAATTGATATATTCTGTTGATAGGTCGTGCATACACGGTAAACGATTATACGAGCATTCTTAAGATGATTGTCACAAGAAGTTAAATTAGTGGAACATGGTTGTTTGTTGTTCGTGCCATTTTTGTTAAGTGATAAGTCATGCCTGGAGAACCATCAGCGACAACTGGAAATAAATCCAGTGGTAAAGCAAAGAGGATCTCCATACCTCGTGTGCAAAGCAGTACCGACACAGAGTTACAGTCGCAACAAAGTGGTTCTACTCCTTTACAACCAACTGCATTGCACTATGTTAGCTTTCGTTCAGAGTTAGAGGACAGTCCTATCCCGCCAACCTTGCGATGCCGTTTATATGATCTCTTTCAACAAATTGAAAAGGAATTTGAAATGTTGTATACTGAAAATCTTGGATGTAAATATTTCTATTATATGTTACAATTATCCAACTCATTAAATATTAACACTATTGTATTTCATTACAGTACAGGAAAAGATTGACATTCTAAATGATAAGCTCGAGAGAGAATGTTATGGATCAGGTGAACGCAGTTTACCTCCTGGAGATCTTACAGATTATCCGGAAACGAAAAACCTTTCCAAACAGAAATGTAAGACTTTACTGCAGTATTAATATTAATATTATATATTAGTATACAGAGTGTCCCAAAAGTCTCGGACCGGTCGAATATTTCATAAACTATGCACTTTAGAAAGAAATGTTTCAGACAAAACTTATATGGCTTGAAGGGGGCCATCAGATAGTGGCAATGATTTGATATGGGAGAGTCATTTGAAAATCACGTGAAGATCACCGTCAATTTCTTAAATGGAATTCCCTATTTTTTATTACAAATTCGTGTAGCTTATCTCGAGAGCTTTCCAAAACACTATAATAAAATATTTCTTCATTGAGTACTTTTCGAGTTATGAAGCTTGAAATAATTTCTTAATTTTACATAAACCGTAAAATATCTTGTAAAATATTCATTTTTCGATTATCTTACCTTAATAATTTTATGTACAAAATAATGAGAGGAATCAATTGGTGTAAAGAAAAAACATAGTTGTTTTTAAGAAAAAAATATGTAATTTGCATTTTAACAATTACATATTTTTTTTAAAACAACTGTGTTTTCTTTACACCAATTGATTTCTCTCATTATTTTATACATAAAAGTATTAAGGTAAAATAATCGAAAAATGAATATTTCACAAGATATTTTATGTAAAATTAAGAAATGATTTCAAGCCTCATAACTCGAAAAGTACTCAATGAAGAAATACTTTATTATAGTGTTTTGGAAAGCTCTCGAGATAAGCTACACGAATATGTAATAAAAAATAGGGGGTTCCATTTAAGAAATTGACGGTGATCTTCACGTGACTTTCAAATGATTTTCCCATGTCAAATCATTGCCACTATCTGATGGCCCCCTTCAAGCCATACAACTTTTGTCTGAAACATTTCTTTCTAAAGTGCATAGTTTATGAAATATTCGACCGGTCCGGGACTTTTGGGACACTGTATAAATATATGTGTTTAATAAATCACATATATAAAAAAATAGATTTTAAAAGGAAAATAATACTCATTAAGTTAAGTTATTTAATTATTAAGTTAAGTCAAAAATTAGTTCCATTTTTTTCTGACAAAAAATTTTTAAATATTTTTTTGAATAATTTGTAACGTTTTATAGTTTTACATGATATTTTTCATTTACTCTCCTGTACATTTAGATTTTATAAAAAAAGATAATAATTCAAAGGACCCTGCTCTAATTTAATAGAAAATATCTTTCCATTGAGTTCGTCGAATTTTTAATATGTTTTAGTTTAAGACATTCTGATCAAAAGTTTCAATGGATACAACTCTCAAAAATGGACAGTTTCAGCACTATTGATCTTAGAATGTTATCTTTGTACGTATGATATTAATGATAAGGGACAGGTTTCTTTACATTTACATAGTATATTAAATATTTATATGTGTAATATTTATGTGTAATATATGTAGATTCTTAACACACACACTTCCACATATCCATCAATATCTAAAAAATCATTATTAACTTCAGATGCAGTCCAAAGATACCATCTGTTATAAAAACTGAATGTAAGGATCTCAGAAGGATTACAAGAATCTAGAGGATTACTGTAAATATAGGGGGATAAGAAATTTTTTTATATAAGAAAAAGAGTTTGGAGTCACTAAATATGGAAATAAGGAACCACGGGATTTTAATCTCTGCTCATAATCACCTCGTAAAAATAATCAGCCACAAGTAGTACAAACATTCAACATTTTATACGTACACACATTTTATATACTTCTTTACATATTCTTGAACACACAAACATGTGTTTACATGTCATACTGTACATTTCATATTTTATATATTTACACACATCTATGTACAGGGTGGCCCAAAAGTCTGGATACAGTCGAATATCTCGTATGGAATGCATTTTTGAACAAAATGCTTTAGACAAAAGTTGTAAGGATTAAAAAGATGTATTTAACTGTAATATCCATTTGACATTGAGTGGCGTCGTCAAGATCAGGGGAAGGTCAACTTGAATTTTTTAAATGGAACCCCCTTTTTTCATTGCATATTCTTATAGCTTACCTCGAGAGCTTTTCAAAACACTACCCTTTTACGTACAAAATAATGAGAGGAATCAATTGGTGTAAAGAAAACACATAGTTATTTCGAAGAAAAAATATGTAATTTACAATTAGATATTTTTTCTTAAAAATAACTATGTGCTTCCTTTACACCAATTGATTCCTCTCATTATTTTGTACATAAAAATATTAAGGTAAAATAATCGAAAAATGAATATATATTTTACAAGATATTTTACGATTTACGTAAAATTAAGAAATGATTTCAAGCCTTATAACTGAAAAAGTACTTCAGGGAAAAATAATTTATTATAGTGTTTTGGAAAGCTCTCGAGAAGAGCTACAAGAATATACAATGAAAGAAAAATAGGGGGTTCCATTTAAAAAATTCAAGTTGACCTTGGCGATGCCACTCAATGTCAAATGGATATTACAGTTAAATACATCTTTTTAATCCTTACAACTTTTATCTAAAGCATTTTGTTCTAAAATGCATTCTATACGAGATATTCGACTGTATCCAGACTTTTGGTCCACTCTGTATAGATATATTTTATATATTTGTGTATATATGAGGGGTATGTGGGAGTGTTAAGGGGTATGTGTTAAGAATCTACATCATATATCACACACATATGTAAAATTATTACATATTTAATATACTTTATAACTGTAAGGAAACCTTTTCTGTATTATTAGTGCGAAGATAAAGTTCCAAGGCCAATAGCATCGAAATTGATCATTTTCCAGAGTTGTGCCCATTGAAACTTTCGATCAGAATATCTTAAACTAAAACATTAAAAATTCAACCAATTCGACGGAAAGCCATTTTCCATTAAATTAGTGCGGGTTCTTTAAATTCAAATTTTTTTTTTTTAGCAATGGGTGCAAACTCGGCGCAAAAGATTAAAACTTCACACAAATTAAAAGCACAGACTAGTAAAATAGTATCAAGCTTTAAAACTCCATCTATGACTTGCACCATGCAAAGAGAATACGTGGGCCACCGAGACGGTGTATGGGAGATATCTGTGAGCAGATCGGGACAACCTATCATAGCGACTGCTTCTGCTGATCACACCGCACGTATATGGGCAATAGACAGTAGCCGATGTTTATTACAATATATCGGTCATAGTGGATCTGTGAATTCAGTACGATTCCATCCAAATCGAGAACTGGCATTATCGGCGAGTGGCGACGGTTCCGCTCACGTATGGCAGGCAGCTGTCGATTGGGACATGCCGAAAAGAGTACCATCGTTAGAAGAACTTCCAGTAGCCAGTTCCGAACGATCTGCTACAAATAATCTAATTAGTACTAACGACGAGCAAGAGGATCCCCCGACTTTGAGAACGCCAATACGAGAATTGCTGGGCCATTCGAGCGTTGTAATGGCTGCAGATTGGCTCTGTGGCGCCGAACAATTGGTTACAGCTTCTTGGGATAGAACAGCGAATTTATATGACACGGAAACAGGGGAAATTATACACACGTTATGTGGACACGATCAAGAATTGACTCATGTGTCGACTCATCATATGCAAAAATTATGCGTTACATCCAGTAGGGATAACACATTCCGATTGTGGGATTTTAGAGAACCGATACATTCGGTTTCAGTATTTCAAGGTCATACAGAGTATGTGTTATCGATATTAATACCTAATATAATGAACAAATATACAGGGTGGATCAAAAGTCTGGATATAGTCGAATATCTCGTATAGAATGCATTTTAGAACAAAATGCTTTAGACAAAAGTTGTAAGGATTAAAAAGATGTATTTAACTGTAATATTCATTTGACATTGAGTGGAGTCGTCAAGGTCAGGGCAAGGTCAACTTGAATTTTTTAAATGGAACCCCCTATTTTTCATTGCATATTCTTGTAGCTTATCTCGAGAGCTTTCCAAAACACTATAATTAAGTTAGTTTTCATTAAGTACTTTCCGAGTTATAAGGCTTGAAATAATTTCTTAATTTTACATAAACCGTAAAATATCTTGTAAAATATTCATTTCTCGATTACCTTATCTTAATACTTTTACGTACAAAATAATGAGAGGAATCAATTGATGTAAAGAAAACACGTAATAGTTTCGGAGAAAAAATATGTAATTGTTAATTGTAAATTACATATTTTTTCTTCGAAATAATTATATGTTTTCTTTACATCAATATCAAATGGATATTACAGTTAAATAGATTTTTTTAATCTTTACAACTTTTGTCTAAAGTATTTTGTTCTAAAATGCATTTTATACGAGATATTCGACTGTATCCAGACTTTTGGTTCCACCCTGTATAATAAATAAATATGATTAATGCTTGAAACGTATTTTATAGGACAGTAACATCTGCAGTCTTCACAAGGGAAGATAAAATTGTATCCGGCTCAGATGACAGAAGTGTAAAAGTTTGGGAATTACGTAATATACGCAGTCCCTTAGCAACAATAAGAGGAGATAGTGCTGCTAACAGACTGTCAGTTTCCAGTACCGGGATAGTTGCAATACCGCACGATAATAGACAGATACGTTTATTTGATTTAAGTGGTCAACGTCTAGCAAGATTACCTAGGACTAGTAGACAGGTAATATACAGGGTGTCTCAAAATTCACGGACACAGAATGCACAGCTTGGTTATTCCTTCCAAAAGAAGCAATTTTTTTCTCTGATAAAATTACATCTGAACATTATTTTTTAAATGATAGCAACTTAAGCTAACGAATAAGCGTTCTAGATCATGCATGAAGAAATTGAGTGAAGACTGAGAATTTGAGCGTGTACATTATTTTATTATTTTACTAAATATTTTAAATGTTTACAAGAACTCTGCATGATATCTAAATAATGCATTTTCAATACAAATTAATAAGAGAATATTTTTTTTATTTGATATCATCAAAGCAACAACTGAAAATAAAACAAGTAGATTATTTTATTAGATATTTATTTTATTAGATATATTTTTATTAGATTTATTAGATTTTTATTTTTATTAGATTTTATTAGATATTTATTTTATTAGATATATTTTTATTAGATTCACATCTAATCTACTTACTTTTAATCATTGATGATATCAAATAAGAAATGTTCTTTTATTGAATAAGTTAAAACTAGCGATATTTAAATATCATGCATTTTTTGTAAAACCTTTTTTTTGCAAAATAATAAAATAGCGTATATACGTTCAAACGTCAAACATACCATGCGCGCGCCATTTCTGATTTATGCGTAATCTAAAGCGCTCTAATATAAATTTGTTAGCTTAAAATTGATCTTTAAAAAGCAATGTAAGTAATTTAGACGCAATTTTATCAGAGAAAAAAATTGTTTCTTTTGGCACGAACAATCACGCTGTACATTCCGTGTCCGGTGTTCTGAGACACTCTATATATACATACATATATATAAGTTTGTATTATGTATATTCAGTGTTTTCTGTAGATAATTTCAAAATTATCTAGATAAAGATAAAAATCCGTAAATTTATTTTAGATGAGATAAAGATGATTTTGCTTTTACTTAATCTAGATGAAAGATGAGATAATTATTGCGATAATCTAGATAATTATCTAGATATTTTAGAAGACTATAAATATTTATAAAAAATGTGACGCAAATTATAAATGGAATATTAAAATCATAAACACATATTCTTTCTCTTTTCCTAAAGAATATTTAAATAATAGCAAAAAGGTATATAAATGATACGATAAATATTTATTTATTAATTTATATTTATAATATATTTATAATATATTAATAATAATAATATAAAAAATATATTTTAGATATTTTAGATAGATTTTTAAAAGTATGCCTGGAAAACTTTTTTGCATAATGAAAACGTTGTCTTAGACAATTTTTAGATAAGATGACATATATTTTTCATCTAAGATAAAGATAAAGATACTTTGTATTTCTTCATCTAGTTAAAGATAAAGATGAGCCATTTCTTTATCTAGATGATGATCTAGATAATTTTATCTAGATACCAGCAAACACTGTGTATATTTCTACATTTATGTCAAAATTTAGCTTTCTAATCAGTAAAATTAATAATTAATAATTTTAATTAATAATTTTACGTTTCGTTGAAATATATCAATACTTTCTAAAAGTCGAAAATTGCTGAAATTATGTGTGAGAGAGAAATCATGCAGTTATAAGGGATTTTAGACTTTTATACAAGTATTATTATGTTAAAATACAATAGAAGATTTTTTTAAATATGTTTGGCAATTTTTTCGAGAATATATTTACATATCACATAATTATTACATGTAAAAATATTACATAGCACAATTAAATTCCCTCGTTCCCAATAAATTATAAATATATTTCATTAAAAAGAAATAACTTTGTTTACAGGGTCATCGTAGAATGGTGTGTTCCATTGCTTGGTTGGAAGATAATAATGTGTGTAATTTATTTTCTTGTGGTTTTGATAGACTAATATTAGGTTGGAGTGTTCTTCCTGTCAAAGATGCTTAAATATCAAAACTGGTTTTATATCAGATACTTTATGTCATGTTAATGTGATATTCGGAATATTTAGGTGCAATTTAGAAATGGAAGTGCATATGTAACTATACAGCAAAATTCCAGCAATTAATCCAATCAAAGAGCCTCCCTTTCCACTCTTGCAGACAACTGCAATAAATAAGCAAAATATATATTACATGTATTATATCTGTAAACCATTTATCAAAAAGATAAATTATGAATAGAATGTGCGATCTTAAAATTGCAATAAAAACCGTGAATGTTTCTCTTATGTAAATTTCTTTAACAAGAATTCTTACCAGAGTATGCAGTGAAGAGACATAAAACAGTGTAACCTTGGATAAGAAGGTAATAATGGCCTGAAGCTATATGCCTCCATACTATTCCCAAAAATCCCAGTAATTGGCCAGAGCCTCCAACTATCAGAGCACGACTTAAATCTTTTATGCTATATTTGTATGGTTTTTTACCAATGATAAACCATTTTAATTCGGTTATTAGAATAACTGCACAAATAAATGCTGCAAAGGCAAATGCTGTATGTAGCAGCACACTGTAAAAATTACAATCTTGGGACGCATCGTTATAGACCAATTCTGTTTCCGATGCATTTAATTCTGTCTTGCTTATCTCGCAGGCAAACCAAATTCTGAGTGATTCGGCTAGCCATAATATTATAATTAATTTCCAATACGATTTAAAATTACTGTTATACAAGAGATGTCTGTAAGCTGGCTTCTCTATCAGAATAAGATCTACAAAGACTATAACAGGATCGTACTCGATGTATTTGTCAGCTAACAAGCCACACTTCTCCTAAAATATATTATAATGCAAAATTGATAATGTTGATAGTTTTGGTCGATTACATTATTTCCAATGAACTGTTACTAAATTGTAACAAATAAAAAAAATTTTTTGGCTAGTTTTGATCGATTACATTATTTCCAATGAACCTTTGATTAATTGACTAGCGATAAAAATTAGCTAAAAAATTTTTTTTATTTGTTACAATTTAGCAACAGTTCATTGAAAATAATGTAATCGACTAAAACTAGCCAAAAAATTTTTGATTATTTGTTACTAAATTGTAATTGTAATATTATTTCCAATGAACCTTTGATTAATTGACTAGCGATATTAAGATAATTTATAAATATAAATTCGTAATACTTCACTTACACATTTTAAAATTTTAAGAACGCTAGGACAGTATCGCCTATAAAGCTCTTTGCATTCAGCTCCACAATTTATACAAATGTACATTTAGACACTTTCAAGTATTATCTGAAATAAATAATATTAATAAATTGATAAAGAATACGGCTCTATGTATTTAACAACATGATAATTACGAAACGAGCAATAAGAGCCTAAAAACGCGGATGGTAATGCGTAAATGCGTAAATTTTTTTTTTTTTTTTTTTTTTCAAACGTTCGCGAAAAAATTTTCTTAAGACGTGCGCAAGACATTTATACATATATTTTACTTGGTGTGTATGCCAAGTTATAGATTCTCTTGGTTTGAGACTTCTATAACACTCTCTTTACCCCCCTGAAGAGATGTAGACAGGAAAAATATCGGGGCGAAGTCGCTGAATCGGGAATCGAACCCGAGTCTTTCGCTTGCCGGCGACTGCTCTTATCACTGACAACCTTGAGCTTGTGAGCTATTCAGCCTCACACCGACACTTCTCCTGTCCGTTTTTATTAATCTATGGAAATAATGAGAACACGATGTTTTTAGCTCGGCGTGTAGTTCTAAATAAATTGATAAAGAATACGGCTCTATGTATATTAACAACATGATAATTATGAAACGAGCGCTAAGAGCCTAAAAACGCGGATATGCGGTATTGCGTATTTTTTTTTTTTTTTTTTTCATTGTTCGCGAAAAAAAATTTTTTTTTTAAGACGTGCACAAGACATTTAGAGTATACAATATCTTTTACCACATCAAAAGTTGATTCACAGTTAAATAAATAAATAATAATATAATAAATAATATTATTAATATTATTTTATTTATTTTGAATTTTATTTTGCACTTTGAGCAAAAATTTTTATTCCCGCCTATACTCTTAATTCTCGCTTGCACTGATTCAGTTGCAAGTTCAATTCTAGTCTAGTGCAAGAATAGAAAACAGACCTATTTATTCACATTTAGTTTGAAATAATATTTTAATTTTCGATTCCATCTGATTATTGTATATGATATGTATATCGAGGTTCAGCAAGTATTTATTTAGAAACATAAATTTTTAATATTTACAGTTAAGTGTAATTTAGTGTAAGCTTATGTAGTCTAGTATTTATATGGCACAGTTTATTTTGTATGACCTCATACATATTTTTCAATTGCAAACGAATGAAAAAAAGATTATCTTACATGTATGCAAAGATAAGGACAGAGTACGGTGAAAGGGAAGCAAGATGGTGGTATAAAAGGAATTCTGACATTTAGAAATTTAGTCTTGATTCGACGTTCGTTCAAGATACATTAAATATGGCATCCAATTCAAGTGTACTTTTGCCAACAGGGCAAGCAATGCCCATTCTAGGATTTGGAACTTGGAATGTAAGCTTAGAAAAAATAATTTATATTATATATAATCCAAGTAAACTTATATGTATGCTATACAGGATGTCCCAAAAGTCCCGGACCGGTCGAATATTTCATAAATTATGCACTTTAGAAAGAAATGTTTCAGACAAAAGTTGTATGACTTGAAGGGCGCCATCAGATAATGGCAATGATTTGACATGGGAGAGTCATTTGAAAATCATATGAAGATCACCGTCAATTTCTTAAATGGAACTCCCTATTTTTTATTACATATTCGTGTAGCTTATCTCGAGAGCTTTCCAAAACACTATAATAAAGTATTTCTTCATTGAGTACTTTTCGAGTTATGAAGCTTGAAATCATTTCTTAATTTTACATAAAATATCTTGTGAAATATTCATTTTTCGATTATCTTACCTTAATAATTTTATGTACAAAATAATGAGAGGAATCAATTGGTGTAAAGAAAAAACAGTTGTTTTTAAGAAAAAAATATGTAATTTGCAATTAACAATTAAAATGACTCTTCCATGTCAAATCATTGCCACTATCTGATGGCCCCCTTCAAGCCATACAACTTTTGTCTGAAACATTTCTTTCTAAAGTGCATAGTTTATGAAATATTCGATCAGTCCGGAACTTTTGGGACACCCTGTATGTATGTATTACTAACAAATATGTGTTATATATTAACAAATAATCTATTTTCTAACAAAGGCAAGCGGGGAAGAGTTAGAAATAGCTCTTGATGCAGCTCTGGAAGCAGGATATAGACATATTGATACAGCCACAGCATATGAAAACGAGCATATCATTGGAAATGTTTTACAAAAATGGTTTGATTCTGGCAAAATTAAGCGATCGGATTTGTTTATAGTAACAAAGGTGTGTTTTAATTGACAATGATATTTATGAGAACACATAAGAATATTTTTAGAAATGTATAATCATATTCATAAATATATACATATGAAACAGATATATATTCATATATAATTACATACTGATTATATACTGATTACATAGATGATTATACATTTCTAAAAATATTCTATATTAAGTATTATATTTAAAATATATTCTTATGCTAAATATGTTCTTATATTTAAAATATATTCTTATGCTAAATTGTTATGCTTCAAATTTTAATATTAATATTAATATTAATATTATTTTAATATTAATTTAATATTAATGTTAAAATTAATGTTAATATTAATATTATTTTAGTATTAATTTAATATTAATATTATATAGGTACCTTGTTGTGGCAATAGGGCAAAAGATATAGAAAAGTGGATCAAAAAGTCACTGAAAAATTTGAAACTAAAATATTTGGATTTGTATCTGGTGCATGTCCCATTTGCACTTGAAGATGATGGAGAAAATTTATATCCATTTAATGAAAATGGAGAAATAAGAATGGATGTAACAGATCACTTGGAAATATGGTCGGCGATGGAGAGACAAGTGCTGGAAAAGCGTACTAAAGCAATTGGATTGTCTAACTTCAATATTGGCCAAATTCAAAAGATTTTGGATATTGCTGAATTACCTGTTTCAAATTTGCAGATTGAACTGCATGTGTATTTCCAGCAGAAGGAATTGGTATATAAATTTTAAATTCCTATTAAATATTTCTGCGAATATTTATAAATGTAAAATATATATATTGTACGATGTACATTCTTGTAGGTCAAATTTTGTCAAGAAAACGATATTCGTGTAACTGCATACTCTCCCTTGGGTTCACGTGGATTCGTCAAGAAAATAGGAAAGGAAGATACAATATCAAATTTGTTGGAAAATCCTATTGTGTTAAAAATTGCAGAAGAGTACAAAAAAACTCCTGCTCAAATACTATTAAAACATATTGTCCAAAAAGGTATAATAACCATACCAAAAAGCACGACTCCTACAAGAATCAAAGAGAATATCCAGCTATTTGATTGGGAACTTCAAGTTGGAGATATCGACAAGTTAAATGCTCTTGACATGGGAGAATCTGGGCGTATATGTGATTTTTCCTTTTTTAAAGGTATTGAAAAACACCCAGAATATCCTTTTTAATAATATATTCTGCTAAAATCTTATCTTTTATATCTTATTGTATTGTTTTTTTTTTCATATATTATGGAAAATAATGTTATTACATATTTATATATATCATATATATCTGATGTAAGATTTCATGTTTTTTTATATATTTGAGAAAAATATTCATGAGATTTATATATTTGAGAAAATATCCATGTAGATGTAACCGGAGGTTCATCCAAAGCCGCAAGGCATGGATTATGTAATAATAAATAATAAATAAATATATATATTATATATATTTGTTGACAAATAAATTTATATAAATATATAATAATAAATCATAAAAATGATGTAATTAAATGTGCATAACAAATTATAGCAGACTAAAGAGATTTCTGCAATTACACATAATTCTATTTTTTCTAATTTTTCTGATGCAAATTATATTTATATATAAAATAATCGATTGCATAAATATAAAATATAAAATTAATTATAACCAATATAACTTCTCCGTGGAAGACAAATAAAATAGGAAATGTGTCCAATATTTAAGGCTATATTTACTCATATTTCGATATGAAGTAGGTTACTTTCACACATTACCTACTTTCACTCCGCTTATTTTGGGCCGTTTTGTTAGCTTTCGCATTTCTTTTTCAAGCATATAAGCCAGTGTTCCGATTAGGGATTCCGTGCGCGCGCATGTGCGGTTCTGCGCATGAGCAATCGTGACGTCACAGGTGATTACAGTAACGTACTAAGCATGTGTGTAATAACGTGTACAATTTTGGCGGGACGCTATCGCCATGACAGGAGGAGGACAAGAAAGATCAATAGGAGGATCGATATGTTAATAATATATATTAATAATTATATATATATATATAACGTGTTATATATATAACGTCTTTATACACACTATATATTTTTATTTATAATTTTTTCATATGTATCTATATAGCTGGGTAACGGTGCCCTTTTTTATTAGTATAAGGTACTTCATTGACAGCGTATTGCCGCACATGCGCGCGCACGGAATCCCTAATCGGAACACTGATATAAGCGAGAAACACTTTGATCACAATTATGCAATGATTACCGAACAAATGCACATGTCACGTGTATTCAAATAAACGTGACAGCCAATTACTTTCGCGTTAAAAAATTCACCATTAAATGCGGAAATGCCTACAAAATGGTGAAAGTATTATTTCTTCTACTCCTGGGGATACGATGGAGGAGAAAAAAAAATATGTATACCTCCAGATTAGAAAGGATGACAAGGTTATATTTTCCAATAGATGTGATGCAAACTGCTGGGGAATAAATCGCAATTTCGAACTACATATATTTTAATTTTCACGGTATACATATATTTTATAAGCTAATAATCGCGTATACAATGCATATATAGCATACGTTATTAATATATAATATTTACAAATATGATTGGAGATAAAAATCGCGCGGTAAATTCATATCCGATTTTACAAAAATCTGTCAAAAATAAATCGGAATTTCTTACAATTTCGAAAAACTCATGTATTTTACTTTGTATATTCCTTTGTATATTCTTTTTCCACATAACAAATAGAATGAACGCGATTAAAAATAATAATTAATAAAAAATAAATAATTTTATATATACAGGGTGTCCCAAAACTCATAATCAATCTTTCAAAGACAGATTCTTGGGATCATTTGGAGATGATTTTTCCTCAATGAAAATATCGAGGCACTAATAATTTTCGAATGATAAGTGATTGGAAATAAGAGTTTTTTCGTAAACTAAGTTTTGTAGAAATAAAATATTAACAAAATCATATTTTTCGATTAATTTTAAATAGAGTTTACTTTAATTGAGTTTTAATTTAAGGCTTAATTGCAAAAATATATGACAAAAATCGGGAATGTGCAAAAAATGATGGTCTTCATCGACATTTTCGCTGAGGAGAAATCGTCTCCAAATAATCCCAGGAATCTGTCTTTGAAAGATTATGAATTTTGGGACACCCTGTATATATATAAATCTAATAACAGAATCTATTTAAATTAGACAAATGATAACAAAAGGAACTCTTTTCTAATCTTCGGCTTATTTGTTAGATACGACTACAAAATGACTACACACTCATATTGTTACTTAATTATACAATATTAAATATGCATATATACATATACATATATATATATATATATATATATATATATATATATATATGCATTTAAGAATACTATATTCACTGAAAACTTATTGTTAAAGTACATTTCGCCTGTGCGCTCATCAGCTTTGCATTGCAAATATTACAGATAAAATTAAAATTAATAATACATTTAATGCCGTGTGTTTAAGTAACATTTTGCGGACTGTGCATCGTCAGAGGGCAATTACACTTTCTCGACCTGCTCCTACACCAATCCATTTGACTGTAACAAAGTAGATTCTTATTCTGATAAACTTTTTGACATACATATGAAATACATGCTATCATGCTATGCAAACACACCTGGTACATCTAAATATTCCTCTATGATTTGTATGTATTTATGTGCATTCGGTGGCAATTTATCTAAGGAACGTACACCTTCGGTAGTCGATTGCCAACCCTCGACCGTCTTATATACAACTTCAACCTTTGCTAGTTCACTAACACTGCTTGGAAAATAATCTATGTTCTTTCCATTTAATCGATATCCAATGCACACTTTTATCTCTGGTAATGTATCCAAGATATCGAGTTTTGTTAAGCATATAGATGTATATCTGGAATGAGAAAACAATGATTAATATATATATTTTATATACAGGGTGAGCTATTTTAAGTTACCCACTCCAATAACTTTTTTTTATTTTTGAATGTATAACAAAATGTTTCAAATAAAAGTTGCTTGACTTCGAGGGGGACAGAAGATGGTGGCAAGAATTTGACCTTGGATAGTCATTTGAAGGTCACATACAGGTCACCTTCAATTTCTTAAATGGAACTTACTATTTTTCATTGCATATGCTTGTAGCTTATCTCGAGAGCTTTCCAAAACACTATAATTAAGTACCTTTTCATTAAGTACTTTTTGAGTTATAAACTTTGAAATAATTTCTTAATTTTACATAAATATCTTGTAAAATATTCATTTTTCGATTACCTCACCTTAATACTTTTATGTACAAAATAATGAGAGAAATCAATTGGTGTAAAGAAAACACATAATTGTTTCCAAGAAAAAATATGTATTTACAATTAACAATTCCATATTTTTTCTTAAAAATAACTACGTTTTCTTTACACCAATTGATTCCTCTCATATTATTTTGTACATAAAAGTATTAAGATAAGATAATCGAAAAATGAATATTTTACAAGATATTTTACGGTTTATGTAAAATTAAGAAATTATTTCAAGCCTCATAACTCGGAAAGTACTTCATGGAAAAATAATTTATTATAGTGTTTCGGAAAGTTCTCGAGGTAAGCTACAAGAATATGCAAAAATAGTAGGTTCCACTTAAGAAATTGAAGGTGACCTTTGAGCTTCAAATGACTATGAGCTTCAAATGACTATCCAAGGTCAAATTTTTGCCACCATCTTCCGTCCCCCTCGAAGTCAAGCAACTTTTATTTGAAATATTTTGTTGTACCTTCAAAAATAAAAAAGTTAGGATGGGTAACTTAAAATGGCTCACTCTGTATATTAATGTTTTTATATTATTTTATATATTAATATTTATGTTAGTTTGCAGTTTTGAATGCAATTATTTATTATATCAAGCAACTATACGCATTCACACAAATAGAAATTTTCAGATTCTTTCACATATAATACATTCTTTTACACACCCATTAACTAACGTCGTAAATTTCAGCAACGTCAAATCGAGCCATCCACACCGTCTCTTTCGCTTGGTGGTTACGCCGATTTCATGGCCTCTTTCCTGCAATAATTCTCCAGTGGAATCTAAAAGTTCTGTGGGAAATGGTCCGTCACCGACTCTGGTAGTATAAGCTTTTACAACACCGATTATCTCGCCAATTGTGCTAGGAGGTAGACCAAGACCAGTCAATACCCCACCAATGCTGCAGTTCGAGCTTGTCACATATGGATAAGTTCCGAAATCAATATCTAACATTGCCGCGTTAGCACCTTCCACCAAAGCCTTTTTACCATCCTTTAAAGCCTGGTGCAAATACTGCACCGTTTCTTTCACATACGGCCTTATACGTTTGGAGTATCTGCAAAAGAATCAACTGTATATTATAAATCTTGTAAAACAATGTAATCTCATTATAAGATACTCGTTATATACGTACTCCTTGTAACGTTCCAATTCGGCTTTAACGTCGACGTGCAAGGCAGGAAACATTTTTTGATACGACGTAACTAAAGTATTAAACTTTTGGGAGAACTTGTCAAAGTCGTCGAGAAGATCTCCGATTCTGAGTCCATTTCTCGCGGCTTTGCTCGAATACGTTGGTCCAATACCTTTCTTCGTAGTTCCCAATGACTGCGTGCCTTTCTCTAATTCTTGCAATCCATCAACCTGTTGATGAAAATCAAACACTATATGCGCTCGATCTGATATTATAAGTCTGTCCTCCCAGTTCCTGAGCCCTTTAGACTCGTTCTTTTCCAACTCGTCAAATAGACCAGGCAGATGAATCACTACTCCATTACCTGTGAACAAAAAAAGATCGCAAATATTAATTATATATACAATCCGCAGTATTCAACAGAATTGAGGTAACAATATTCAGATAATTTAATATCTATCTATACACCAAGAGACAATAAAATAGCCCATGTATAAATAAGTGGAATAATTATTTTATACATTGACCTTAGTTTCTCTTTTCTGTATATCTATTTTGTTAAATTGTTTAACTTGCTCCTTGATATTAAATTAATTACTAGAATCACAGATACATGTTACTTTTTCACAAACCATAATATTTATTTTATTTGTTGATCTGAAAAGGTCTTACCTATTACAGATTTGCATCTGGGATTGATTATTCCACTAGGCAGAAGATGGAAATCGAATTCAGCACCTTCTACAACTACAGTATGCCCTGCATTATTTCCTCCCTGAAATTACATTAATTAATTAACTTGAAGAAACAGGGTTTGCCGTTATTTATAATGAAAAAAATTATAATTGAAATAAGAATTTTTTGAATGATACAAACAATGGCGTTAAAAAGTTTCAATATACAAATATACTAGAAATATATATATATATATATATATATATATATATATATATATAATATACCATCTATATTCTATCTATTAAGACTATGTAAAAAATAAAAAAACACAGAAATGTGTAAAAAGTGAAATAGATATTTTATATAAATGACACAATTAATTAATCTATATCTTAAATTATCTTAATATCGCTAGTCAATTAATCAAAGGATGGTTGGAAATAATATAATCGACCAAAACTAGCCAGAAAATTTTTGTTTTCTTTAATTTTTTTTTTCTCCTTGACTTATTTAATATTATTCCTTTGTAAAAATATGGATACGCATAGATTAACACAAATTGCATAAACCTTGACTTTTTCTTAACATTAACATAAAATAATTATTTAGAAAGCAATAATTCTGTAATATATATCATCGTGTCGAACAAAATACTCTTGTGACGAACGAGATAAAGAATATTTGGATTATTTATCATATTAGGTCACCAAGATACGCTATGTACTTTTGTGATTTCTTTTTTTTATGTATATGTATACATAAAAGCCATCAATTATGTAATATCAGATACCATGCTATAGGCATGTTTGTAATATCCGCAGGTCAGGTGACGCGAGCGCGTTATTTCTAAAAATAAAACTAAAAAAAGGACAGTCGACACGAGGGATTTTTCGCCTATTTAAGGGTCACAAAGGCGGACAATCTTGAATATTTTCCATACTTTCGGGGGAATATTCCTCGATACTTCCTTCAGCACACGACGACAACTAACCTACTCAGACAGCACACACGTCCAAAAGACATCTAAAAGACGACTCGAAGACATCTTAAATCCTTTAGACATCTTTAAGACATCTTCTGGCCTTTTTGTGTTGTCTGGGTAGTCTCTCCCGATCTCGAGGAAAGAAAATAGAACCAATCGTCCCAAAACAACGCGGAATAAGCGCAAGATGACACTTCGAGGAGAAGGTCGTTCGCGCCAAGTTTCCCGGGGACCGCGACCTCCCAGACAACACACACGTCCAAAAGACATCTAAAAGACGACTTAAAGTCCTCTAGACGTCTTTAAGACATTTTTCGGCCCTTTTGTGCTGTCTGGAGGACGCGGGAAGCGCACCCAACACATACCTGACACCTGCAAACGATGTCGGCGTCCATCGCCAGCATGTCCACGACCTTCCCCTTGCCCTCGTCGCCCCATTGGGCGCCGAGGACCACCGTGACCTTCGATATGGGCCCGCCGCCCGTCGACACTCGCTGTTTCTTCCTCGGCGAGGCCGGGGCACCGTTGCCGTTCGCCTGCTGCATCCTGGGCACGCACCAGAGGAATGCCCGCGGATTGTCGGAGGACGGACGAGGCCGCGCGCGCTGTCGCGTGTCAGCGGACGGGCGCGATCCTTCAGAGGGAAGCCCCGTCTCCCGCCTACCTCCTCGCCGGGGAACAGCTGACGCGACAGAAATCGGAACCGGAACGATCGGGGTGATTCGCGCCTCGCGCCGCTCCTCGTCGCCCCTCTCCGCCCCCCACCGCGCTTCCGAATCCTCCCTTCCCCCTCTCCTCGGCCGCGTCGAGAACCTAACCTACCTACCGATTAAAGCTGGCTTTTATTATCGGGTCGAAACGCGTATACAGGCTGTTTCAAACCACACGTACGATTCATTTAGAAACTGGAGAAGTTGATTATTTCGAAAAAGTGAAAATATTTTCTTTATCGGATGCGCTCTATCGAATGGTGATATTTTCAACTTCTGCTTCCGGCCGGATAATAGGCGATTCAGACCGAAAGTGTATTTTTTTAAATGGAACCCCCTATTTTTCATTGGATATTCTTGTATGTGTGAATATTTTACAAGATATTTACGGTTTATGTAAAATTAAGAAATTATTTCAAGCCTCATAACTCGAAAAGTACTTCATAGAAAAATAATTTATTATAGTGTTTTGGAAAGCTCTCGAGGTAAGCTACAAGAATATGCAATGAAAAATAGGGGGTTCCACTTTAAACAATGCACTTCCGGTTTGAATCGCCTATTTCCGGCCGAAACCAGAAGTTAAAGAAAATATCACCATTCGATAGAGCGCATCCGATTCATAAAGAAAATGTTTTTACTTTTTTGAAATAATCACTTCTCTAGTTTTTAATGGGTGGTACGGATGGTCTGAAACATCCTGTATTCGACGATATTCGATTTAATCGCGCGTTTTTCTAGCTAAAAGATATATCGAGTATTAATTTTTTTTTCTTAGAATCTATTTAATTTTGAAAAGGCAAACGATAGACGCGCGACCGCGGTTTTAATTCATATGAATTACCAGTGTTGCGCTTAGATAACTTAAAATAATCAAGATTAGATAAATCATATACTCATGTATCTCAGATAAGATAAAGATAATTCGATTTTAGTATATCTAGATAAAAGATGAATGAGTTAAATATTTTATCTAGATACTTTTAAGATAATGTTTAAAGCAATTTAGGATATATAAAAATAATACACTCGAGACAAAAAAATTACAGAAAATAAGCATGTATTCATTTGACAACGAGTAAGCCGTGTCCATGCCAATGTCAATGTCAATCGACCAATGTGATTATGGCTGCGTTCCATTTAACGACCGCAATGCTGGCAAAATCATCTTATTCTTGTTGTTCTCTAAAAGTTAAACAAAGACACATCATGTTTACGAGTGTCGCGATCATTAAGTGGAACGCTTTTAAATCTGTATTACAGTTGAAATTGATCGATTAGAGTAGCCGGTCGATAAATTGCTATGGTTTGGAAAAATTGCACTCAATGCACACTGATTACATTATCTTAGCTTTTTAATAAAAGATATCATTTTTCTTATATCTGAGATACAGATAAAGATACCACAAACTTGAATTATATAGATAAAAGATAAAATAAACAATAATTGCATCTAGATGAAAATCTAGATAATTTTATCCAGATAACGGAAAACACACTGTGAATTATGCATAATGCATAATGAAATAAACGCGCACGTGACGCCTGGGAAATTCGTTCGTTTTTCACATTCAGCGCCATTTGACATGAGTTAATTTCTTCGGTACTATATTAATCGCGTAGGAAATCTAGATAATTAAATTGGCAAATTATACTTATTAAATTTTATCGATCAAACAGGAATTAACATAAATAAGTTATTGTAATTGCTCGTTCAATGTCGACGGTTCCGGAGTACATGCATCATACCAGAGATTGTCGGCGATTATTTTTCCACTTGCGTGCAACGGAATTATCGAAATATAATTATCTTCGAATGGCTAAATGGCACTAAAACTGATATAAAAATACAGATTGAACATACAGAGTGAAATAAGAGAAATTCAGTCAAATTAAATTAAGTTAAGAAAGAGAATTAAGACATTTTATGATATTTTATATTGGAATAGGATGTAATATTATATTATATATTTATTATAAATTGTTGCGAAAGACGTGGTACTTTGTCCAACGGATAGAAATCCAAAAAGAACAATTCTTGGCTCTCTATGAATGGAGAAATACTCGATTGGCGAAGGTTTATTTCAGTACGCATGATGTAATTGTGGGGTAATTTGAGTAATCGTACTGTCAGTTGAGAAACGAGATCCGTTCCAAGGCGATAATTTAAAAGATAACCACCGTATATGTGTATGCATACACACATACAGTCATATGATTTGATATGTGAACTGCATTCTATTCTTAATTTCTTTTTAAAACGATAAGCGAGTTTTACTTTACGAATTCCTTCATCGGGTATTCTAATACACAGAAAAAAAGGACATTATTATTTTGAAGATATATTCAGCTTTAACATGGAAATGAGATTATATTACGTTAATTAAAGAAAGATATAATTGCTTACTCGAATAAAGCCATTTTATATAGTTCAATCGAGAAAAATATATTCTTATGATTTAAGATTTAATTTTCTTGAATGGAAAAGAAACAATGTTAGATAGAAAACAACATTTTTAAATCAAAGATTATAATTTTCTTAAAGTAGAATTAAATAATTATATATTCTTGAGATGACAATTACAATAATAAAATAAGATATACTATAATATTGTTAAAATTTAAAATTATTAAATTCTTCTAAGGAGATTATAAATTGTTGCGTATACAGGGTGGTCCCGAACGTTCCAGCCAGACTTTGAGATCTTATAGGAAATTTAATTCTGAACAAAAAATTTCCTATAAACATGGGTCGAAAAATGCTTCCTTAAGAAGTTATCGCTCAAAAATCTCTGATGGAGGAAGAGCAAAAGGTGAAAAGAAAATGAAATGAAAAGAAAATGAAACTAAATAAATTTCTTGAAAAAAATGATAAAAAATAAAAATCTTTCTTTTATGAAAATAAAATAATTTTTTTTTTAACTAACTTTTATTTTACTACCCTGTATACGAAGCAATGAACGCGTTAGTTTAAGTATATAAGTTTTGATTTGACACTTATTTTTTTTCTGTGTATATGATGAAGAATTTTTACAATGTTTTATTTATAAATAAGGAATTGTTTTAGACAAACGTATGTAAGAAAATATTTTCTCGAATTATACGCGAAATTTTTCATCTATCGCACTTGTGTATTAAGTCTTCCAAGGTACGAAGAAAGCCAGCAGCGATAAGTTTTATCGCGATGTCATTTAATGATTAATCGAAATTGCAAATTTCCGACAATATATGGGAAGAAAAATGAAAAAAGAATCTCGTACCGACATACTCGTGTCGCATTTAACTTGTAAGCCCGTGCCCGGTAAACAATAAACCGGAAAGCTGGGTGCACAAGCGCTCTTCAATATTTACATCGGCGAAATGGATATATTACCGGATTAGAGACGTGACCCCCGTGGCTTTTTAATTATACAAGCCTCGGTGCACCGGGACATCTGCCCTATAGAAACTCCTCCAGTCGACGAGAGGAGATCCGTTCCCTCGCTACCGAGTATCAATTACATTGTTATTATTACAGGGGAGTAACCGAACAGAGATGCGGTCAGAGATAATACACTGGTATAAGAGCATGCACAACAATGGGACAGGTACACGCGGCGTTAACCGAAGCGCGATCCCTCCCCCCCTTGCCCCCCTCGTCGTGCGAGCAACGCGATAGCCATCGCGCGTGCAACTATGCGTTTAATTTGGATTTGCCGCGGAAAGAGAAAGAAAGAGAGAGAGAGGAGAAGAGAGGATACGTGTCGCGAAAACGAGGGGTACGCGCCCCCCGAGGGAGACCCCGTACCTTCTACACGTGTGCGTACGTGCACGCATAACGCATATACGCGTATCCGCATACACGCGATATATATAAAACGAGGAGTTGCTTCTTCGGGAGATTTAGTGAAACATCCGGGATGACGAGCGAAGCACAAATGAGGAACACGGATTTCAGTATAGCCCGTATACTGTCGGACGATCGCGGTTGTTCCCCTAAATCGCGGGTGGATCGCGAGAAGGGGAGGGACGTCGAGCGGAAGCCGCGCGTCCCGGCCCTCCCGGAAGCGAGGGAGGAACGCGAGGGGGAGACCCGACGAAGCGAGGAATGCTCCGACAACGTCGTCGAGACGACGGACACCTTCCTCGCCGGCGCGACGCGACCGGAAGTGCGAAGAGCCGATTTCACGTGGCTCCAGTACACCCGGTACAGGCCGCCGAAGCTACCCAGGAGGTCCTACGTCGAGAGGCGGACCAAGCGGCGAATGGACGATCGTCCCCGCATCCCGTTCTCCTCGTCACAGCTGCAGGTGTTGGAGGACAGGTACAGGAGGAGCGCCTATCTGTCCAGAAATGATGTCATCGAGATGTCCGCGATGTTGAAGTTGCCGCAGAGCAAAGTACGTATTGAAAAAAAAGATAAAGGAAGATCCTCTCTCTCTTTCTATCTTTCCGTTCTGTGAACAATTGATATCGGTAAATTTGCATTCATCGATTTGTATATGTCATTGATATGACATAAGGTTTTCCGATGTAAAAATGCACGTTATATCGATGTTTCCCCGCGGATGTATTCAAATTTAAATTGTTTCATTTCGCGCGATCTCGGTAGGTAAAACAGATCTCTACTTTATCAGTTGGTAAAATAGATCTCTATTTTATCAATCTGTAACGAGATTGCGCGAAAATGATAGATTATGCGATTTTATATGTTCCTTTTTTTTTATAGATAAAGATCTGGTTTCAAAATCGTCGAGCGAGACAAAGACGTGAATCGCTAAATTCCACGATAGCGGCGCGATGACAGGACGATAAAGGAAGAGTCCTGCAAAGTCCAAAAATCCTGAAGGATTTTTGTCAAGGATTGATATGTAGAGGATCCGAATCTGGATTACATTTCAAGTGTGACTTTTTACATTGCAATTATTTATTTTACGCATCCTTGATTTTTGTACAAATACAAACTTATAATAATAATAATATATATTTTATTGTATGTATAAAATAATGATGCGCTATATTATTGTATATGTAACTGTTAATGGAATAAAAAAGAGCGAAGCTATATATATTATTATTATTATTATTATTATTATTATTATTATTATTATTATTATTATTATTATTATTATTATTATTAAGAATGCATTTCTTATGGAACAATTGTGTAATTTTTTATTTTAAGAAGGAAGAAAATTTTTTGCTGCATACTTTTAACGTATGAATCAATAATAAAAATTTATCCCAGACAGCATGAAAAGGCCAAAAGATGTCTTAGGCCGGTATTCGTAGTCCGATCTTATATTTAAGATTGTCTTAAGTCTGGTTCGAGGTTGACTTAAGACCTCATTCAACCAATCAAATGACTGTGTATACATATATATAATGGAGACCTTTCTTCACTATAAAACAAAATATAAAATATAACAAAATATATTGTAAGCAATTTAAAAAAAAATAATAATATACCAAACGATATAAAAAATAATTTTATAATTCGTTCTAGGAAGAAGGGCATGTTTTGTAATAAATAGACAAGACATGTCAAAATACTGTAAATATCAAAAACATTAATACTAAAAATATCAAAATATTGTAAACACCAAAACTCTATTTGTTCGTAATGATGAAAAAATTCTATGCTGTAACAGAAAATTCTGTTTTACACAACTTATATAATATCAATCTACACGGGACACATTTTTAGATTGTTTAAAAATCAACTTAAAGAATCTTAAAATATGTAATTTTAGAATATGTTTTAAAAAAAACAAATAGAAGAAGAACTGCTTTGCTTATCGTAATATTTTTGTCCTATTAAAGAGATAAAATGGAATAATATAAGGAGGGATATAAATATCTCTCTCGCTCTCTCTTTTGTTTGAGAGAGAATGAAAGAGAAAGAGAGAAGATTTCTCTCCTCTGCGTATACAGGGTGTCCCAGTTATCTTCCGTCATCTTTCAAAGATCGACAGATTCCTGAGATCATTTGAAGACGATTTTTCCTCAGCAAAAATGTCAATGAAGGCCATCATTTTTTGTATGTTCCCGATTTTTGTCATCATACATCTTTGCAATTAAGTCTTAAATTAAAACTCAACTAAAGTAAACTCTGTTTAAAATTAATCGAAGAATGTGGTTTTATGTAATATGTTAATATTTTATTTCTACAAAGCTTAGTTTACGGAAAACCCCTTATTTCCAATCACTTATAATTCGAAAATTATTAGTGCCTTGACATCTTCGTTGAGGAAAAATTGTTTTCGGATGATCCCAGGAATCTGTCTTTGAAAGATGACGGAAGATAACTGGGACACCCTGTATAACTTGACATTTAATTTAAATGTCTACCGCGAGAGGTCGCTCTCTCGTCTCTTGCTTCTCGCTTTTGTTCCAACACCGGCTGAGCGAGTGAATATGTGTGCATCGTGTTTAATTTATACATATGATAAGCACACACAAAATATCGAGCAATAATCTTTTTCCACCATAGAGTAGCCCTACGAATCGCGGTTTTAACATAACGAATACGACTAATAATGCCGTTGCAAGTTCACGACGTTCAGGTAAATTACCCGATTTCAATCAGGAAACGGGCGTTCTTCCCTCGAGATCGAGTGTAGTTTAAACTACAAGGTTATCTTCGCATCTCTAATCGCCTTTCGCTATCTAAATATATTAAATTTCGATTTAAATTTATTCTCGTAAGCGCAAAATAGATGAAGCGGAATTATATCCTGGAATAATTTCCTTTTCATTTCGCAGCAAAATGTCGTGGAACCAATGCAGGTTGATGCTCCTGCAGAGGATAATGATAATGCTGAGGAAGAACCGTATATAGTAGAAAATCCGACGTTGGTACGTATAAAATTCGTTCAACTTGAAAAAGATTCAAATCCGTATTTTCAAGTTTATTTTTTTTCATAAATAATAGAGGTATAAGACTCGAAATATAAAATTAACAAATTAGTTTCAATAGGAGTCGAGCGTCGATGTTATGACACATTTATTTATTTATTATACAAACAAAGGCATAAAACAAATAAAAAATAATAAAAAATAAAAATAAAATTAAACAAAAGAATAGCGAACGTTTTGACCCTATTTTTGGGTCATCTTCAGCACAAATGTAAAAATATAGCAAAGGTGTTACATATCTGAATCGATGAGATAGGATGCTGTCCAAAGTAATACTATAATAAATGTCTCGATATCTCATTTATTTTGACGATGCTTATGTAAAATAAAGGTGAAACAAAATAAATGGATAATGTAAACTAATATAAAATGAAAAAAATATTAAAATTTAACGTAAAAAGATTAAAAAGATGCAAAGAGTTAAATGTCCATTTAAAAAAAAAAATTTTTAAATAAATATAAACTGAACATAGAGTCAAAAAGAAATAAAAATTAAAGAAATTTTTATTATTTTTTATTTGTTTTATACCTTTGTTTGTATAATAAATAAATAAATGTGTCATAACATCGACGCTCGACTCGTATTACTATTGAAACTAATTTGTTTATTTTTTTTAAATTTATTTTTTATAAACAAATATGCAAATAATGTATCGTGCTTTCTTACCTTCTCAGGATTTAGAGGTATACGCCAACAGTTATACCGGACTTGCAAAATTGCATAGACTTGTATATATCGCCGATCATTGTCCATCGTTGAGAATAGAAGCATTGAAAATGGCAATTACTTATGTGATGACCACATATAACGTTTCGCTTTATATAATGCTACATAAGAAGCTCGTTGAAGCTATGGGCACCCCAGGATTACCGGATGTGGCGGCGCAGTCTACTTCACAAGACGTGTTAACGATGGATCAAACATGGGTAGAGACTCGATCTAAGAAAGCTGCTCTGAAATTAGAGAAATTTGATACCGATTTGAAAAATTACAAGAGCAATTCTATCAAGGAGAGCATACGAAGAGGCCACGACGATTTGGGAGATCATTACTTGAATTGCGGTGATCTTGTTCACGCCTTGAAATGCTATTCCAGAGCACGAGATTACTGTACTAGCGGCAAACATGTTGTGAACATGTGTTTAAACGTAATCAAGGTCTCTGTATATTTACAAAATTGGTCGCATGTACTTAGTTATGTTACCAAGGCTGAAGGTACACCAGACTTTCCAGAATTGCATGGTAAAGATAACAATCAGGCCATAATTACAAAATTAAAAGTAGCAGCAGGTTTGGCAGAATTGGCAACAAGAAAATATAAGATGGCTGCGAAACATTTTTTACAAGCATCCTTAGATCATTGCGATTGCCCCGAGTTATTGTCTCCCGGAAATGTGGCTCTCTACGGAGGACTTTGTGCTTTAGCTACCTTTGACAGACACGAACTGCAAAAACAAGTTATATTTAGTAGTTCCTTCAAATTATTTCTAGAGTTAGAACCGCAACTTCGAGATATAATTTTCAAATTTTATGAATCAAAGTATGCATCTTGTTTGAAATTACTTGATGAGATAAAGGATAATATTCTTTTGGATATGTACATAGCACCTCACGTAAATCTGTTGTACACGCAAATTCGAAATAGGGCCTTGATACAATACTTTAGTCCTTACTTAAGCGCAGATATGAGAAGAATGGCAACTGCATTCAATAGAACAGTATCTGAATTGGAAGATGAGCTCATGCAACTTATTCTCGATGGTCAGATCCAGGCTCGTATAGATTCGCACAATAAGGTAAGTGATGCTTGCTGACTTGATCTTATACAACATATTTTTCCATAACAAATATATAATACTTTTAAGTGTATATTTTTTAAAATTATTTACAGATTTTATATGCAAAAGACGTCGATCAACGTAGCACCACTTTCGAAAAGTCTATGAGCGTTGGAAAAGATTATCAGAGGCGTACGCGTATGTTGATCTTAAGAGCCGCAATGTTGAAACAACAAATTCATGTAAAGGTAAATTATAGTTAAAGAAAATCTCTTTATCTCTCTTTTTTTTTAAGATTATGTGAGCTCTTCCATTGTCGTACAGTAACTGTAGAAAATTCATCGTAACGTCTTGTTCATTCAAATTCAAGTAACGAACTAAGAGTCGAACGCAGACGGTTGTACATCAGTTTTGCAAAAATTAATTTGACTTTGTATTGTCTTATTTAAAAACACACTGTTTATTTTGATAGAGTCCTCAACGCGACAGTACACAAGGAGGCGAGATGTCGGTAGCACCTGGAAATGGCACTTTAGCAGCAAAAAATTAAAACATGTTTGATATCTTGTGTTCTGGAAAAAAGAAAAAAATTATATTTATGCGTGTTAATTGGCACGATCATCTAAGCATGAGATAAGGTTTCATCTCTGCATCCGTCATGTTATTTACATTATTTCCGAAGTCTACGTTCTGTACCTCATTTTCAACATATAATATATGGCATGTATATAATATTGCTACACATTGTGTTTATAAAAAACAAAGCAACGTTTATATATATATATATATATATATATATATATATATATATATATATATATATACATATATATAACCTTTCTTTCAATTATGATTAAAGAATCGTAATAGAGGAAAGTATGTAACATAGACCAACTTTTTGATTAATTAATAAAGCCATACTAATATGTTCTCTTTCACGCAAGGAAATTATATATTGAAAAATCGTTATTTTTAAGTTTTACACAAACGATGTGAACGAACCTAAGACTTTAACATATTCTACTGGGATTTAAAATAAATTCATTAGATTAAATATACGTCCACGTATCGTCTATAATATAATCCGTATATTTTTTCAATTATGTATTTTATTTAATTCCAAAGAAAATTAAAATAATCTTCGTTCTGTATATTTATTGTGTATATATGTATATTATTATTTTGTGTGTGTGTATATATATATATATAGGGTGTTTCAGACCACCTGTACCACCCATTTAAAAACTAGAGAACTGGTTATTTCAAAAAAGTAAAAACATTTTCTTTACAAATTGGGTGCGCTCTATCGAATGCTGATGTTTTCAACTTCTGCTTCTGGCCGGAAATAGGCGATTCAGACCGGAAGTGCATTTTTTTAAATGGAATCCCCCTTTTTCATTGCATTATTCTTGTAGCTTACCAAAACACTATAATAAATTATTTTTCCATGAAGTACTTTTCAAGTTAGAGGCTTGAAATCATTTCTTAATTTTACATAAACCATAAAATATCTTATAAAATATTCATTCTTCGATTATCTTACCTTAATACTTTTATGTACAAAATAATGAGAGGAATCAATTGGTGTAAAGAAAACATACAGTTGTTTTTAAGAAAAAATATGAAATTGTTAATTGCAAATTACATATTTTTTCTTAAAAACAATTATGTGTTTTCTTTACATCAATTGATTCCTCTCATTATTTTGTACATAAAAGTATTAAGGTAATGTGATAATCGAAAAATGAATATTTTACAAGATATTTTATGGTTTATGTAAAATTAAGAAATAATTTGAAGTCTCATAACTCGAAAAGTATTGCATGGAAGAATAATTTATTATAGTGTTTTGGAAAGCTCTCGAGGTAAACTATAAAAATATGCAATGCATGAAAAATAGGAGATTTCATTTTTAAAAATGCACTTCCGGTCTGAATCGCCTATTTCCGGCCGGAAGCAGAAGTTGAAAATATCAGCATTCCATAGAGCGCACCAGATTTATAAAGAAAATGTTTTTATTTTTTTGAAATAACTTCTCTAGTTTTTAGGTGGTACGGGTGGTCCGAAAGACCCTGTATATATACAGGGTGTCCCAGAGCACCCGTACACACCTTTTAAAAATGAAAATAAATGGCTTTTATCAAAAATCGCGAACAATTTTTAAGTAATTCGAGTACACTCTATCAAATGGTGATATTTTCAACTTTTGATTCCGACCGGAAATATCCGCCATCCGGATCGGAATTTGAATTTTTTTAGGGGAATGTGGTACTTTTTATTACAGATTCGAATTGTGCGTGACAAAAATAAGAAACTTTTGTATGTGCCTCTGTTAATCTGTACATTTGAAGTTCATTATTTCATCAGTTACTTTCAAGGTCAATTTTAAGATTGACAAAGGCACTTTCAGAAAAAAATGCCTGATACAAAAGTTTCTTATTTATGAAGAGTCCAAGAGTCCAAAATATATATGATAACGAATATGGGAGCAAAATATCATAGTGACAATTAAAAGTCCCTAACAAACTCGTTGGTTCTGTCAACTCGGAAATGCCCAACTTCAGAGTTCTCGGATGCGTGCGTGTTTCTAATCGATATAATCAGCGATATAATGGACGACGGTTATGTCTACTAAGGTTTTATTAGTGCGATGTGTAAACAAGTCGAGCAAACCCTTCGTGAATCAGCTTACGTCCGAAAATAATCACCATCGTAGGTTTTTCATCCTTCTAGCGACGTGAGAGTCGGTTGTTTTCCGACACCGGATGTGTCGTCATGCCGTGTTGGCCAAGTCGGGACATCATGACATATTTTATATGTTAATATTCTAATCGCGAAGTATATATATTTATTGTGAGGCGAACGCGAAAACGTCCCGAAAATGGTTTTGGCGGACCTCGGACGTAAAATTACGTCGGCCCTGCGGTCGCTCAGTAACGCGACTGTCATCAACGAAGAGGTAGGTTTGCGCGTTTATGTTCGCGATATAGCAGCGAGATGGATTTACAAAGATGTTTGTTGTTCAAACAACGAATTAAATTAATTTTTACTCGTAATTTAACATCTTTTTCAGCGTTTCGCTCTTTACTTTAGCGCAGGATGCTTCGCATTTCTTTGTTTTTTGAGAAATAATTCTTGCACTTTCAGTTGTTTCTAATAACCTCGTTGCGTGTTGTCAAGCTTCTGTTTACATCGTAGCTTGGATTCTTTCAAGTTTATCGCGTGATAATTTAATAAATATCGCAAAAGTTTTATTCTCCGTCAGAATGTCATTTCTCGAAAAATAACTCCCGATTTTATATTTTATTAATACTATATTTTTATACATATGTCAATATGTTCCTTTTGGTTTTACAATTTTTTTAATGTTTGTAGTTGGATCTTTATTATGCATTTTTATAAATATACTTTTTTCCTTTCCGACAGGTTTTGAATTCTATGCTAAAGGAGATATGCGCGGCATTGCTTGAAGCTGATGTAAATATTAGATTAGTGAAAAAATTACGAGAAAATGTGCGCCAGGTTATCGATTTTGAAGACATGGCTGGTGGTCTTAATAAAAGGAGGATGATACAAAGTGCAGTCTTCAAGGAACTTGTAAAAGTTAGTTTAATATATCATTTAATATTGTATCTGTAGAGGCAATATAATATTTATAAATATACAGGGTGTTTCAGATCACCCGTCACCCATTTAAAAACTAGAGAAGCGATTATTTCAAAAAAGTAAAAACATTTTCTTTATAAATTGGGAGCGTTCTATTGAATGGTGATATTTTCAACTTTTGGTTCTGGTCGGAAATAGGCGATTCAAACCGGAAGTGCATTGTTTAAAGTGGAAGCCCCTATTTTTCATTGCATATTCTTATAGCTTACCTCGAGAGCTTTCCAAAATACTATAATAAATTATTTTTCCATGAAGTACTTTTCGAGTTATGAGGCTTGAAATAATTTCTTAATTTTACATAAATCATAAAATATCTTGTAAAATATTCATTTTTCGATTATCTTACCTTAATTCTTTTAAGTACAAAATAAGAAGAGAAATCAATTGGTATAAAGAAAACACATAGTTGTTTTTAAGAAAAAATATGGAATTGTTAATTGCAAATTACATATTTTTTCTTAGAAACAACTATGTGTTTTCTTTATACCAATTGATTCCTCTCATTATTTTGTATATAAAAGTATCAAAGTAAGATAATCGAAAAATGAATATTTTACAAAATATTTTATGATTTATGTAAAATATCTTGTAAAATATTCATTTTTCGATTATTTTACCTTAATACTTTTATGTACAAAATAATGAGAGGAATTAATTGGTGTAAAGAAAACATACAGTTGCTTTTAAGAAAAGATATGGAATTGTTAATTGCAAATTACATATTTTTCTTAGAAACAACTATGTGTTTTCTTTACACCAATTAATTCCTCTCGTTATTTTGTACATAAAAGTATTAAAGTAAGATAATCGAAAAATGAATATTTTATGGTTTATGTAAAATTAAGAAATTCAAGCCTTTCAAGCCTCATAACTCGAAAAGTACTTCATGGAAAAATAATTTATTATAGTGTTTTGGAAAGCTCTCGAGGTAAGCTACAAGAATATCCAATAAAAAATAGGGGCTTCCATTTAAAAAAATGCATTTCCGGTCTAAATCGCCTATTTCCGGCCGGAACCAGAAATTGAAAATATCATCACCATTTGATAGAACGCTCCCGATTTATAAAGAAAAAGTTTTTACTTTTTTGAAATAACCACTTCTCTGGTTTTTAAATGGGTGGTACGGGTGGTCTGAAACACCCTGTATAAAAAACTTAAAAACTTGGCAATATAACAGTGACAAATAGTTCTTAGTATTTAAATATATATTCAATTAATAATTTTTTCAGTTGATTGATCCTGGTGTAAAAGCGTATCAACCAGTAAAAGGCCGTCCTAATGTGATTATGTTTGTCGGTTTGCAAGGTTCTGGTAAAACCACCAGTTGTACCAAACTTGCATATCATTATCTTAAGAAAAATTGGAAGGCATGCTTAGTATGTGCTGATACCTTTCGGGCAGGTGCATACGATCAGATAAAACAGAATGCTACAAAAGCTAGAATACCATTTTATGGAAGGTAATTAATTGAAGAAGAAGAAAATATTTATTATATCCTGCTACTTTATTCTTTATGTATCCATACTAATATATAATTCTTTCTAAATTTAGTTATACAGAGGTGGATCCTGTAGCAATTGCACAGGATGGTGTAGACATGTTTAAAAAGGAAGGATATGAGATAATTATTGTAGATACAAGTGGAAGACATAAACAGGAAGAATCATTGTTTGAAGAAATGTTGCAGGTCGCCAATGCTGTGGTAAAATTATAATAAATTTTTTGTTTGCACAAACTCCCTCCTCCCCCCTCGTTTTTTCAATGCTGATAAGTTTTTGTGTGTTGTAGCAACCAGACAATATAATCTTTGTAATGGACGCGACGATAGGTCAAGCTTGTGAAGCACAAGCAAAAGCTTTTAAGGAACGCGTTAATGTTGGTTCTATCATAATTACAAAATTAGATGGCCATGCTAAAGGTGGTGGGGCACTTTCTGCGTGAGTTTTTTTTTTTTTAATTTCTAGTTTAACAGTATCAATGTTTATGATTGTCTAAGATGAGGCATTATATTTGTGTAAAATAAAAGATATAAAACTATCTCTCATATTCTTTTAGAATAAATGATTGTAATAATAATTATTTTCGTAATCAACTGTTTTCCTCTTTTTATTTTTTGGATATCTAATTTTTTTCAGTGTTGCAGCAACACAAAGTCCTGTAATATTTGTTGGTACAGGAGAACATATAGATGATTTAGAACCATTTAAAACAAAACCATTTATTAGTAAATTGCTCGGTATGGGAGATATTGAAGGTCTTATTGACAAAGTAAATGAACTCAATTTGGACGATAACGAAGAATTACTTGAGAAGATCAAACATGGTCAATTTACTTTACGAGATATGTATGAACAATTTCAAAATATTATGAAAATGGGACCATTTTCACAATTAATGGTGAATATCGTACAAGTTTATAGAAAAATTAATTTGTCCTGACATAAGTTTAGTAGAAGAAGATTGGAATAAGATTTATAGTTTGTATTAATATGTAAAAGCTGAAAATATAATAGACTAATATTTTATAATTACTTTTAATTTCACTATATAGGGTATGATTCCTGGATTTAGTCAAGATTTTATGTCAAAAGGAACAGAACAAGAATCAATGGCAAGATTAAAGCGACTGATGACTATTATGGATAGTATGAATGATTCAGGTTTGTATTTAAGATATCACTTTAATGTTTTTTTATGATGATTCCATTTCTTTCTCAGTATTATTTAATATATTGTATATTTATGTTAGAATTGGATAGTAGAGATGGAGCCAAGTTATTTAGTAAACAACCTGGAAGGATAATGAGAGTAGCAAGAGGTTCTGGTGTAACAGAAAAAGAAGTTAAAGATCTAATTACACAGTATACAAAGTTTGCAGCCGTTGTTAAGAAAATGGGAGGCATAAAGGGTTTATTCAAAGCAGGAGATATGGCGAAAAATGTTAATCCTACACAAATGGCAAAACTGAATCATCAAATGGCCAAAATGATGGATCCGCGTGTATTACATCAAATGGGTAAATAATTTTATTTTAATAGATTAATAAATTGGAAATATTCTTGTGTACTTTTATGTGAATTATATAATTTTTTAAATGTATTATATTAAAGAATTATGTTTTACTCAAAAAATGTATAAAATATTTTAAGGATATTTGTTTTACAATTTATTTGTGTCTAAAAACTATCTTTATATTTGTGAAAGCTATTTTTTTTTAATTCTCCTTTATTTATTTAATTATTTTAGGTGGGATGCCAGGATTGCAAAATATAATGAAACAATTACAACAGGGTGCTGCAGGTGGATTGGGAAATTTAATGGGAGGTTTTGGTGGCAAATCTTGAGACAAGATTCCAGGCAGTGCCATTAATAGCCCATTCTTCGACATACTTTATCATTTTTTCAATTGCTCATCAAATCGTTAAAAAAAATACTTTTGATGTAAATGCAATAAATTATTAAAATATGCTACAAAATTCATGCCATAATGGGAATGTTAGCTTATTCTGACATTATTTATAGCCTTTATATCCTTGTATTTTAAATTTTGTTGAGCTTATTTTTTTTAAATGATTTTGTTACTAGTTTTTTTTAATATCGAGTTACATAATTTTATATGGACAAAGTATTATATTCCTATTATATTAAGTATATGCATTTATATGTTGAAGAAAATAAAAAATTAATTTTGGGTGGGTATTATCACAATTAAGCAATAAAGATGCAATTAACATGTAATAAATATGATTATTAATGCAAACATATATAGAAGTATATTTTGTTACAAAAAAAAACAAAGCTTGGTTTTTATTTTCAAGCAAAAACGTAATTTCACATATTTTGTATTCGTAAATGTTAGCACAATTTGATGTTTTAACATATTTCATATTGATAATTATTAGTTTATTGAAGTAATACTTAAAGATAGCAGTAAAATTAATGCAAAATTATTATTCGCGAGTCTTAGATCTTTATTCTAAAACAGATCTTGTTATACATGCTTACAATTTTGAATTATATGGCACGTTTTTTCTTTTAAATTGATTATATAATTTTTTAAGTTTGTCTTCTATATAATCTAATCCAAGATATCTCAGATATCTATTTGTGAAATATATGAAAACAATATATGATAACAACGTAGGAAATATATACAATTCACGCATAATATATAATTTAACGCATGTATATAAATGTCTTTGATTTTACTCAATTACAGGTACAAGTGCTACACCACTCTACTATGGCATGTATAATACTGTATGTGCTTTAAATACCTTAGCAACTTATTTGTACAGAAAAATCTTTGAGCAACTAAGGTAGAGTTTAAAGTATCAAGAAATATATTAGATAGGAATGTAACAATTTCGTGGGAATGCATTTGTTTCAATGTAAAATACTTTAAAGCTTTCAGAGAACAGCTAGGTTTATCGATATTGTGCGCATAGTTGAGAAATTACAATCCTATTGACATCTGTGGCTTACTGTCCGATTCTTTAAATAATCCTTTCGAAATAGTACGAGTCAAAGGAAAAGTTTCGTTTGTACCGTAGCAAGTGCCATTCCAATCGTCAACATTTAAAGATAGAATCATGGCTCCCTTGAAGCCACTTGTACGAATCCATGAGCTCTGCAATACAAATATTTCAAATGCGAATTGATTTCATATATTGAAGATTACACATACAGGGTGTTTCAGATCACCCATTTAAAAACTAGAGAAGTGTTATTTCAAAAAAGTAAAAACATTTTCTTTATAAATCTGGTGCGTTCTATCGAATGGTGATATTTTCAACTTCTGGTTCCGGCCGGAAATAGGCGATTCGGAAGTGCATTTTTTTAAATGGAACCCCCAATTTTTCATTGCATATTCTTGTAGCTTACCACGAGAGCTTTCCAAAACACTATAATAAATTATTTTTCCATGAAGTACTTTCGAGTGATGAGGCTTGAAATCATTTCTTAATTTTACATAAACCATAAAATATCTTGTAAGATATTCATTTTTCGATTATCTTACCTTAATACTTTTATGTACAAAATAGTGAGAGGGATCAGTTGGTGTAAAGAAAACATACAGTTGCTTTTAAGAAAAGATATAGAATTGTTAATTGCAAATTACATATTTTTTCTTAGAAACAACTATGTGTTTTCTTTACACCAATTGATTCCTCTCATTATTTTGTACATAAAAGTATTAAGATAAGATAATCGAAAAATGAATATTTTACAAGATATTTTATGATTTATGTAAAATTAAGAAATTCAAGCCTTTCAAGCCTCATAACTCGAAAAGTACTTCATGGAAAAATAATTTATTATAGTGTTTTGGAAAGTTCTCGAGGTAAGCTACAAGAATGTGCAATGAAAAATAGGGGGTTCCATTTTAAAAAATGCACTTCCGGTCTGAATGGTCTATTTCCGGCCGGAAGCAGAAGTTGAAAATATCACCATTCGATAGAGCGCACCCGATTTATAAAAAAAATGCTTTTACTTTTTTGAAATAACCACTTCTCTAGTTTTTAAATAGGTGGTACGGGTGGTCTGAAACACCCTGTACATACAAATCTTAAAAATATAATACTCAAGGTGTATTTTACTCAAACACAGAAAAATATGGTACCTTGTAATAGATGCTCTCTTCGTTATCATAAGATATCCATTCTCTGTCTTTAAACGTGTACGGTACGCGACTTTCTTTATTGAAGATGCTCACAGCTCCAGATTTTAAAAATTGACAAACTGCGGAATAATTTACAAAGCCCTTTGTACCAAGCTTCCCAAATCCACTAGCTGGAGCTTGTAAATTGTGATTCGATGGATTGTCTAGCTGATAAGAGTGACCGTAAGCTGGTATACCGACGACAATCTTTTCCCGTGGCATCCCTTTGGCCACCCAATATTGAGCAGAGAAATTCACATTTAATGTAGATAAGTAACCCGTTTCTGTACAACGAGGAAAGAGAGGAGCGTTCAGATCCGTAACTGGGAAGTACCAAACATAAAAATGATAATCGTACGACATGAGATTCACAAAGTCGACGTGTCTGTAAAGATAAAAGGATATTCTTTCTTTTTTATATCTTCAAGTATCTTATACAATTATTTTATGTAACGTGCATACTCTGCCATTTCAGGAACGCTATAACTTTGATCTACAATGGCCTGCGGCGCCGCGACTGCTACTGTCAGGAGTAATTTTTGCCCGCTACGATCAAATTCCTTCCGTAATTCCTGTAATAGCTGCACAAAATGTATCTTTTCGCGATCGTCAGCTCCTATCCACGCTGGAAACTCCCAATCAACGTCGAAGCCGTCCAAATGATAAGTCTTGGTTACATTTAATACTGATCTTATAAATCTGGATACAAAGAGACGTTACTTATTACATATTCTCTAGAATGTATTATACCTCTCATACATGCAATCAGTGTTTGCTGTAGATAATTTCAAAATTATCTAGATAAAGATAAAGATAAAAATCCGTAAATTTATCTTAGATGAGATAAAGGTGATTTTGCTTTTACTTAATCTAGATGAAAGATGAGATAATTATTGCGATAATCTAGATAATTATTTAGATATTTTTGTTTATTTTAGAAGACTATAAATATTTGTAAAAAATGTGACGCAGATTATAAATGAGATATTAAAATCATAAACACACATATTCTTTCTCTTTTCCTAAAGAATATTTAAATAATAGCAAAAAGGTATATAAATGATATGATAAATATTTATTTATTAATTTATATTTATAATATATTTATAATATATTAATAATATAATAATGATATATTTATAATATATTAATAATAATATTAATAATAATAATATAAAAAACATATTTTAGATATTTTAGATAGATTTTTAGAAGCTTGCTTTAGATTTTTGGAAAACTTTTTTGCATAATGAAAACGTTATCTTAGATAATTTTCAGATAAGATGACATATATTTTTCATCTAAGATAAAGATACTTTGTATTTCTGCATCTAGTTAAAAATAAAAATGGTTCATTTCTTTATCTAGATGATTATCTAGATAATTTTATCTAGATACCAGCAAACACTGCATGCAATGAAAAATTGAAAATGAAAACGTACTTTTTTCTATTTGCATGTGTCTTGACCATCTCGGAAAATCCATCATGGAGCTCATTATTTCCGCCGGCGCTAATCATGACCTTCAATTTAGGTTCGCGATTCTTTAAAGCGACCACCTGCTTGTACACCCATGCATTGTCTCCTATGTCGAGCATGCTGTTTACCACGCTCGCAAAACCCACGATAATATGCGTACAAATATGAGGGTCAATGTGCGACGGACTGAGCTCCCCCGACGTGTTCAGGTCCCACGGTATTGTGTAGTAGCATACGATGACCTGGCTGAATGCAGGATAGATTTCTGACATAAGTACACGTAGCGAGCTCGCGTTTATCCTAGATAGACTTCGGATGATCGAAAAACATTTTCTTTACGTATGATTGATCATCAATAAAGTGTGGATTATGGAAGTAGTTTTTTGTTAAAATAAAATAAACAAAGTTAAAGGCTCCTCTAAATTAACAAATAATGAATAATAAAAGGCAGTAAAGAGCCAACGCAGTTGTAGGGCGTGGATAAAATAATTTCCAAGACAGCAATTCAATTTTAACGATCCTTTCGCTTTATTCCAAACGTTTCGGACTCAATTCGAGCCTTCTTCAGTGATTCTAATAAACACAAAGAAAAGATAAATAAATCAACTGAGGAAAAAAATTAAAAACGCAATATCAATAAATGCAAAAGAGAGGAAAAAGCATAGTCACATGTATGCATGATCTATAAGAGCGACGCGACTTCGTCAAGGCTGGTCCATCTGAGAAAGCACGATGCAAAAAGCCCTCTCAGCGGTACAAAGCGCGAAGAGCGATGCACTGACAAAATAAATAAAACCAAAACTAGTCACACATCTTAAAAAAGAGAAATTCATTGACACTAATTAAAGGCCACACACTCACTCGGACAAGAGACAATTGAATTGCTGTCTTGGAAATTATTTTATCCACGCCCTACAACTGCGTTGGCTCTTTACTGCCTTTTATTATTCATTATTAGTTTTTTATTACTTCACGCCTTACATCTGCATTGGCTCGATATTGCCTAATTATTTAGTTAAATTTATATATTTTATACTTGAGCCGACAAGTTAGTTAATTTATTTTCTTTACCTTGATGTAAAATAAAGGCTTAGAACCCGCGGCGTAGGATGACACTACGGAATGACAAATCAAATAAATAATTAAAAGACAGATCTCGAATGTTAATGAGAAAATAAAGAAGAATGTCTGTCAAAAAATTCTAAATAATAAAAAGCTGAAGGACAAACGCACGTTTCGATCTGTTACAGATCCTTTTCAATGTCTTAATAAATATAAAGTTAAAATACTGTAGCTAAAGAAGGTCAGATGGACCTTAAGAACGGTTAAAAATTATTTAAATAACGCAAGAACAATGGTCGATATGAATTTGGTCAAAAACGCATATACAGAGTAAGCCATTTTAATCTACGCACTGAAATATCTCAAAATCTATAAGTTTAAGACAAAAATGATTCAGACAAAAGTTGTATGGCTTGAAGGGGTACATAAGATGGTGGCTATTAGTTCAACCTTGAAGAGTCACCTCCAACTTTTTAAATGGGACACCCTACATACTTCTACATATTCTTGTAGCTTGCCTTAAGAGCTTTCCAAAACACTATAATAAAGTATTTTTTCATTGAATATTTTCTGAGTTATGAGGCTTAAAATAATTTTTTAATTTTACATAAACCATAAAATACCTTGTAAAATATTCATTTTTTGATTATCTTACCTTAATATTTTTTTATGTACAAAATAATAAGAGGAATCGATTGGTGTAAAGAAAACATATAATTGTTTCGAAAAAAAATATATAATTGTTAATTGCAAATTACATATTATTTCTTCGAAACAATTATGTTTTCTTTACACCAATTGATTCCTCATTATTTTGTACATAAAAGTATTAAGGTAAGATAATCGAAAAATAAATATTTTACTAGATATTTTATAGTTTATGTAAAATTAAGATATTATTTTAAGCCTCATAACTCGAAAAGTACTCAATGAAAAAATACTTTATTCTAGTGTTTTGGAAAGCTCTCGAGGCAAGCTACAAGAATATGCAAAAGTATATAGGGTGTCCTATTTAAAAAAGTTGGAGATGACCTTCACGTGACTTTCAAGTGACTCTTCAAGGTCAAACTAATGGCACCATCTTATGTCTCCCTTCAAGCCATACATCTTTTGTCTGAAACATTTTTGTCTTAAACTTACAGATTTTGAGATATTTCAGTGCGTAGATTAAAATAGCCTACCTTGTATAAGAGAAAGTTCGTAAAAAGTACAAATTTGAACGGCTATAAAAAGCTGTAAAGAGAATACAGCTCCTTATTCCGTACAGTCATCTTAAGCCTTTGTTTTATATCAATTCGATTTATTATCATACGGACCGTTAACGCTTATTTGTTTTTGTTTTTCTTCACCTGGTTGCATTGCGGTGGTATTGTTCCGATGCACCGACACTTGTGTTCCTGTCCGCATTCTGATTCTCCTTCGTCGATTCGGCGTACATCCGAGCCCGACGTAGCCACGTAGCAATCTTGGCATTGTCAATTTGCTCCTCCACGAATCTATCGGCTTTCGGGGCCCTCAGAACGAGTATTCCGAACCAGGCGCGCGTGATAAATAGAACCCCGACGATTAGGAATGTCAAAGTAAGGCAAACGACTTGCGTTCTCCAGCGTGGTCTGAAAGAAGGGCATTTATCTTGTATATATTTAAACTTTATTCACTTCAACTTTGCAGTCAAGAAGTGGGACTTGGTTTATAATGTTTCCTTAGCTTCATTCATACATACTTCGTTTCCTCATTCACTCCCTATCTCGTACACTTATATATCTATCCTATCTAATCACAGTCTGTAATCAGTTTTTTTGAACAAAAATAAAAAACTCAAAAACAAAAAAAAACTAAAAACTTTAACATTTCCTCCTCCAAAATATACCTAGTTCACTTCTCCTATTTTCTTTGCCTTTTCTTTCCAGGATTTCTACAATATATCCCTTTTAACATCTAAAATTTCATTCCTTATTTTCTGTATCCTACTCTCCTCTGTATTTCCTAATTTGTCAAACTATCCTTTTGTCATTTCACATTCTCTAACAAAATGATTCAAATTATTCCTTCCATTACAGAATACACATTTCCTATTCTTTTCCTCAGGCAATATTTATTCTCCTCTTCCACGTTTCCACATCTCAATCTTGCTAAAGCTATAATACCTTTATTTAAATACCATTTGTCTACCGATTCTTTGGGCATTTATTTTGTATTTATATAAACTTTATTCACTTCAACTTCATAGTCAAGAAGCAGGATTTGGTTTACAATGTTTCTTAGCCTCGTTCAAACATACTTCGTTTCCTCATTCACTCCCTATCTCGTACACTTATATATCTATCCTATCTAATTATCCTATCTAATTACAACTAATCAGTCTTTTTGAACAAAAACAAAAAACTCAAAAACAAAAAAAACTAAAAACTTTAACATTTCCTCCTCCAAAATATACCTGGTTCATTTCTCCTATTTTCTTTCTCTTCATTTTTTTTTCAGAATTTCCACAATATATCCCTTTTAACATTATCTAAAACTTCATTCCTTATTTTTTTGTATTTTACTCTGCTCTGTATTTCCTAATTTGTCATTTCACATTCTCTAACAAAATGATTCAAATTATTCTCTTTTCTTTCTCTCCTTCATTTTTTTGGCTTTTCTTTCCAAAATTTCACAATATATCTCTTTTAACATCGTCTAAAGCTTCATTCCTTATTTTTTGTATCCTACTCTGCTCTGTATTTCCTAATTTGTCATTTCACATTCTCTAACAAAATGATTCAAATTATCCTCTTTTCTTTCTCTCCTTCATTTTTTTGGCTTTTCTTTCCAAAATTTCACAATATATCTCTTTTAACATCGTCTAAAGCTTCATTCCTTATTTTTTGTATCCTACTCTGCTCTGTATTTCCTAATTTGTCATTTCACATTCTCTAACAAAATGATTCAAATTATCCTCTTTTCTTTCTCTCCTTCATTTTTTTGCCTTTTCTTTCCAAAATTTCACAATATATCCCTTTTAACATCATCTAAAACTTCATTCCTATTTTTTGTATCCTACTCTGCTCTGTATTTCCTAATTTGTCATTTCACATTTCCTAACAAAATGATTCAAATTATCCCTTCCCTTATCACAAAATGTACATTTCCTACTCTTTTCCTCAGCCAATATTTATTCTCCTCCATGTTTTCACATCTCAATCTTGCTAAAGCTACAATACCTTTATTTAAATCTCATTTGTCTACCGATCTTTTGGGCATTTATCCACTATTAAAGCGTCGTGTCAAGGTACTCAAATAATACGAATAATTGCGCACACACAAGGGACTGTCGCGGATTCAGAGGATCGCGTTTACGCGAAGCAACTTCCGATTAATTCTTCGCTTAATCATCCTTCGTGACAAGAAGCGTGAAAGCTAGGAATGACGTATGAATTTACCGTAGTGCGAAAAATCGATACAAAATTTCCTCCCTTTCTGCCTCTCTCTCTCTCTCTCTCTTTCTCTCTCACACACACGATACACGTTTCATTAAGCAATCTCGAAGAATACGAGTATGTTTACGCAAACGCGATACCCTCGCCCTCCTTATCACTCCTTCGACATAGGTGACAAAAAAATATCATTATACATAAAAATATATATACTCACTGTCGTATATCGGTTAATAATTCATACTTGGCCTGTGGCACAGGTATTTGGTTAACCATTGAATGATTTTGTTATTCTTACGATATTGTCGAGCGATGGGCTTTTTTGTGAAAAAAAAGAAACGAGACGAGCGATCGAACAAGCGTGTTTTTTTTTTCTATCGTCGACGATGAAGAGTCGAAGAGTTTGACAATTCGCTACCGATAACGACCGAAGGCAAAACGTTGGAACGCGCACAAAAACGAGCCGAGATCGCACGTAGATCTAGGTATCTAGGTATCCATAGGCGGATTACGGATGGCAACAAGCGAGGAATTCGCGTTATGTTTACGACAATTGCATAAGGACGCGATGGGTGTGTTTCATCGCGAATTTTACCGAATATGTATTGATATATATAGGCAACAATAATCGAGATCAACCGACGTATGCATGTGTATATGTATTGTACATATGTAACACGATACAAACGAGATGACGACGCGTCAAACGTGTCGTTCCTTCGAACACGGATGGGTTCCGCCGATTGGTTCGGAAATGTACTTCTAGGGGGCGTACATACAGGGTGGACCAAAAGTCTGGATACAGAATATCGAATATCTCGTATGCAAGAATGCATTTTAGAACAAAATGCTTTAGACAAAAGTTGTAAGGATTAAAAAGATGTATTTAACTGTAATATCCATTTGATATTGAGTGGCGTCGCCGAGGTCAGAGCAAGGTTAACTTGAATTTTTTTAATGAAACCCCCTATTTTTCATTGTATATTCTTGTAGCTTACCTCGAGAGCTTTCCAAAACACTATAATAAAGTATTTCTTCATTGAATACTTTTCGAGTTACGAGACTTGAAGTAATTTCTTAATTTTACGTAAACCGTAAAATATCTTGTAAAATATATATTCATTTTTCGATTATTTTACCTTAATACTTTTATGTACAAAATAATAAGAGGAATCAATTGGTGTAAAGATAACGCATAATTGTTTTAAAAAAATGTAATTGTTAATTATAAATATATTTTACGGTTTATGTAAAATTAAAAAATTACTTCAAGCCTCATCATTCGAAAAGTACTCAATGAAGAAATACTTTATTATAGTGTTTTGGAAAGCTCTCGAGATGAGCTACAAGAATATGTAATGAAAAATAGGGTTCCATTAAAAAAATTCAAGTCGACTTTGCCCTGACCTTGGCCATGCCATTCATTCAATGTCAAATGGATCTTACATTTAAATACATCTTTTTCATTCTTACAACTTTTGTCTAAAGTATTTTGTTCTAAAATGCATTCTATACGAGATATTCGACTGTATCCAGACTTTTGGTCCAACTTGTACATCTGTCAAAGTCTGTTCATTTTAGTTGCATACTAGATTTTCAAAGCACGGACGCATAAGATACTTAGATGTAGCATTATATCAATCATTTGTTGCAATCTTTTTTTTGTAAAGAAATGATTTGTACAAACTAGAATTACTTATATTGAGATTACACACATATATTTTTTTTTTGCACATTACATATATATATATATATATATATATATATATATACATATTATATATACATTTGTATATTAAATAATATAGGAATGTTTTTTTTTAAGTACATGTAAGCGTGTAACAAAATATATGTATACATTGTCATAAATATATAGCACCACATATATATCGTCTAATTCGGAAAACTATATTATTTTTAAATTATATAAAAAGGAGAGAAAAATATATATTTTATATAATAAAATATAAAAAAACTTAATGGAAAAATTAAATACTCAGAGATTAAAATATAATATAAACACATTCGAGGAATTACTATTGTTTTCTATTATTTAATTAAATGAAGTGCCAATCACAGATCAACATTGGTGTGAAATTATATTAAATTATATTTAATTATTTTAAATTATTTCTTATCGTATTATTTAAATTATATTAATTATATTAAAACTTACAGGAGCTAAGGAAGAAACTTGTAGTATGTTCTATTAAATTTAAGATTTTGTATCTGATGTACGATATTGCGAATCACATGAAACAGTGGATTATTAGTGAGATAACAAGACGTCATCCTCGGGGCTTGGTAAACGTCGGTAACGTTCTTGCGTTACCAAATATACAGATAAGCCACCAAATAATATAAATAGCAATCCTATACAGTTTATTAGTATTCCTTCACCCACAAACTTTTGATAATCATCTCTGAAATTTCAAGTCAAATAATATATCTTTGTAGTTGACTGCTTGTCAATTTTTAAGTTTTTGATAAATGAATTGCTATTACCGTAATGAGAAGAATGCCTTCTCATTGAGTCCCAATAAACATGATGCGATCGCAGAAATAAAGGCTGCAATGCCAAAATATACATGTATTGGCATATAAGAGGCTCGTAATGAAGATTGTAATCCAGGGAAGAGGAATGAAATGCATCCAGCAACCCACTGTAAATAAGAGATAAGTAAAGCATGTATCTCACAATTTAAGATTATTGGAGACAATTTTTATAAATTTACCTGACAGCAAAATAATATTACAGTTGTTAATCCCACCCAGCTATGTAGTGTATACATATTTGGTATAGGAGGTGAAACTAAATTATGACTGTCAAAGACTGCTACTAAAGCAATCACTGTTAATAATATGATAAATAACATCATTCCTGCATGAGTAAGCTTTAGTCGGCGTTTGCGGGCGTTTCTTTGCGTTCTATAGATAAGCATAGCTAGGGAATGGAAAACACAATTCTCATGTATAATATATATATATATATATATATATATATATATATATATATATATATATATATAACTCATAATGATGACAGAAAATCAATTCTATATATCAATTCTAAATTATACCATTTAATTCTATATTATTCTATTTTTTTAATTCTATATTATACCATTAGCATACAGAAACACGAATCCTATAGTCATTAACAAGGGATGCCAGTTAAACTCAAGCTGCGGATCAGACTTCCACGAGAAACCTCCTCTATAGACACTTGTCCATATGATTACCAAAAGTAAAAGGAGCGCACCACATGCCTGATGAAGGCTGAGAAGTGGAATGAAACCTTCCATAGAGTGAGATTGGGGTGATTCTATTTGATCCATATCTAAAATGTTTTGCATCACATAAATAATAATATCATTACATTAAATAATAATATATAAATAATTATATATTTAGATAAATATAACATGCATCTTTAAAAAATAGAAAATATATGCTCTATTTGTATATATTCAACGTAAATACTTGAATATTGTATGAAATTATGAGACACAAATTTATAAAATTCTTAGCTGATGTACATACCTAGACATCTCACATATTCATATGGATAATTTGACATTATATAATTTTTTAAATAATTCCCAAATAATTATAATGAAATTCTCTCCCCTTTTTTATCAATATATTAATAAACGAATTTTTTTAGAAGCAACAGGTCAAGAATAAAAGGTTTGATAGAAGACATACAGAACAGGAAAAATCTTTATGTAAAAAATAATAGAAGGAAAAAAATAAGATATGTCGTCTTTATATGACAGTTACATATTTAATGTCAATCAATTAAGATAATAGCAAAAAAAAATCAATCTTATATGTGTGATACGTTTACACGAAATTAAAAAAAAAAGAAAAGGTCAGCATTTCATGAAACAAAGTCGTGTGCTATTATTAAATGACTGAACATATGTTTCATCATGCACATACGCAGCTGATGCTGATGTAGAATTAAAGTGTGACGGTTGTCATTTTTATCTATTAAATGAAGCGATATATTTTTAAATTGCCTTTTATCGGTTTTTTGATGACCTGGTGATATTTATATGTAGAAAAAGCAATATATATATAGACAAAAGCTAGCAATATATATAGCAAAAGCTTTCAACAAATACAGCGAGACATTTATCGCGTACCTCTTTTCAGCTTTTTGCGAATAATACTGCGCGGAGATATCAACAAGTATGTAGTGCACATAGTGGATAGATACACACACACACACACACACATATATATACAGGGTGGACCAAAAGTCTGGATATAGTCGAATATCTCGTATAGAATGCATTTTAGAACAAAATGCTTTAGATAAAAGTTGTAAGGATTAAAAAGATGTATTTAAATGTAATATCCATTTGACATTGAATGACGTCGCCAAGGTCAGGGCAAAGTCAACTTGAATTTTTTTAATGGAACCCCCTATTTTTCATTTCATATTTTTGTAGCTTACCTCGAGAGCTTTCCAAAACACTATAATAAAGTATTTCTTCATTGAGTACTTTTCGAATGATGAGGCTTGAAGTAATTTCTTAATTTTACATAATAAAAACCGTAAAATATCTTGTAAAATATATATTCATTTTTCGATTATTTTACCTTAATACTTATTATATTATTTTTAAAGATTTTTAATATAAATTGTTGTAAATGTACATTAATATTGTATTTATATTAATATTAAAATATTTTTAAAATATTAGTATTAATAATAATTATGTACAAAATAATGGAAGGAATCAATTGGTGTAAAGAAAATACATAATTGTTTCGAAAAAAAAATGTGATTTGCAATTAACAATTACATTTTTTTAAACAATTATGCGTTTTCTTTACCCAATTGATTCCTCTCATTATCTTGTACATAAAAGTATTAAGGTAAAATAATCGAAAAATGAATATTTTACAAGATATTTTACGGTTTACGTAAAATTAAGAAATTACTTCAAGCCTCGTAACTCGAAAAGTATTCAATGAAAAAATACTTTATTATAGTGTTTTGGAAAGCTCCCGAGGTAAGCTACAAAAATATACAACGAAAAATAGGGGGTTCCATTAAAAAAATTCAAGTTGACCTTGCCCTGACCTCGGCGACGCCACTCAATGTCAAATGGATATTACAGTTAAATACATCTTTTTAATCCTTACAACTTTTGTCTAAAGCATTTTGTTCTGAAATGCATTCTATACGAGATATTCGATATTCTGTATTCAGACTTTTGGTCCACCCTGTATATATATGTCATGATGCGCAGTCCATAATAAATAAAACATTTAAGTTCTTATCGATTTTTGCTTAAGTTAAGAATTAGCGTTTAAAAAGTTTTTGTACAAAGATGGAAAAGTGAAATAGCATTGAGATTAAAATTTTAAAATGTAATTCGCGAATTGTGCGAATATCGAGCCGAAAGTGCAATTATGGGAATCGATAAGGAAACGCGTTTTTATAAAGATGTGTACGATTCATGAGTGCCTCGTTTGCGAATCATCACAGCCAATTATATCGGTTTTGTGCCTAGGGTATTAGCAACGATTGACCAATCAGAGAATCCTATTTTGAATTAGCCAATCGGATGTCACCTGTACGATTCTCGTGTCACACGTGCGCAGATATGAAACGTCAGTACTGTCATCTATATGTCGATAACATCAGCTGCTATTATATCGGCGTATGATGACACACGAACGTTATTAATTATGATTCTATTGGGATTTTCCGATATTCAAATTTTAAATAGGAATACATACGTATGCACATATCTTTTAAAGACTTTTAATATAAATTGTTGTAAATGTATAATATTAATATTGTATTTATTTATATTAAAATATTTTTAAATATTAGTATTAATATTAACGTTTACTTATTTTATGCACTAAAATATTATTAATATTTATTAGTATATTTTAGTTAGTTAAAACTCCAGATATATATTTTAATTTTGTGATTTACACTAAATTATACATACATATACAGTAGTTATTTGAGATTTACTTTACAACACATAAATCTATATTACAATGTATTGTACAAAAAAATTAAATTTAATGTACAAATTATATATATATATTTTTTTTTTTAATGTTGAGGTAAATTAATCAAAAGACAATATTATATTAATGTATCTTCAGAACGAAGGTATTCTCCAATATCGGCTTGGTGAAAGCAAATTGTTGCCATAGGATCTGCATGTTTGCAGTCAGCTGTACTTTTTGCAGCAACTCCAAATCCCTGTAAATATTTAATGAATAATAATTATAAGTAAGTTTTTTACATATGTATATTTTTTACATATGTATTTTTACATATGTATATTGTATCATTATTTTCATTATAAATTAATAATGTATAAACAAATATATAATGAATATCTTAAAAATGTTAAATTTAAGTAAATATATTTAATTAAATAATTTACTTACCAATGGCACATCACTCATGGAAAATACAACGACACCTTGATATTGAGAAGTGCCTTCTGTTATACGAGCAAGACCTGATTTCATAATGTGATGTCCATATAAAAATTGTTGTTCTGCCGAGGATTTCACCCAAATTTTATGCTTAACAAATAATTATCTGTGATTACATTTATACATATCTCTTATCAATTTCATTTAATTTCAGATACTTACTTGTGCATATGGCGCTAAATAATGCAACGCAGTGACGTGCAGCCTAAACTTTCCTGATTTTGTGAATTTACCAAAACAAGTACCTACGCTCAACAAATGATCTGATCCCACGGTACTTGCTAAAGATAAAATCTTTTCTGACACATAATATACTCTGTCTTTATTCTCTCGGAAACAATACACGCCGTCTGGTCGATCTATCAAATTTTTTACATTGGAACCCATACTATAACAATCAATTTTGATAATCATTAAATTTCTATACTTTTTAAAGGTCTCTACATCTAACACTTAAATGAAACTTTTATGCAAAATAAAAAATTTAGATAAATTAAATCATTAATTGAATTATCAAAATAAGTTAATTCAATAATTCAATCAATAATTTAATTAAATTGAAATAAACAATTCAACAAATTACTTACTACTTTGTCAACTTCTCGAATACAAGCTTTGTTCTCTCTTCCGACAATTGCTTCATTTTTGCAGATATATAAATTATATAAACATTTATCCTGTCTTTGTTTACAAAGGATCACAATCGTAGGAAGACACGTGCTAACCAAAAAAGAGATACACTTTTCGTTACGATTGAAAAAAAAAATTCTTTTTCGACTCGTTCACCAGATGGCGTGATCATCGCGTAACGATTTAAAGCACAAGTTGCGGTAAGGTGCAATTTCATTGACGCTAAAAAGTAGCGTCAACCATTGGTTAAACAATGAAGCAACTACTTACTTCTTTGTTCAACCAATGGTTGATGCTACTTTTTAGCATCAACCATTGGTTGAACAAAGAAGTAAGTAGTTGCTTCATTGTTTAACCAATGGTTGACGCTAAAAAGTAGCGGAAAAGTATATATATATAAAAGTATATATATATATATATATATATATATATATATATATATACAGGGTGTCCCAAAACTCATAATCAATCTTTTAAAGACATTCCTGGGATCATTTGGATATATATATATATATATATATATATATATATGTCATATTTTATTGGTACATATACATATACATATATATATATATATATATATATATACAGGGTGTCCGTAAATTTTCGACCTTAATGAAATAAATAAGTAGATTGGCTCGAATTAACAAGAAATGACCGGTATTGCTTTGGGATTGTCGCAATAATTAACGAAATATTAAATAAAAAAGATCGGCCAATCTGCGTGAGTAAAAGCGCGCGGCGACGAGAGTCATCCCACCGTAATCCGATACTACGAACGCGGCGAAGCGGTGGGCGGGTCGCTCTCCGAGACATGATGGTGGTTTGCGATATATCGCAATACCGCGCCGAAAAATGACCCGCCCCCCTTTTCGTGGCGAGAAAATGATGCGCTATCATTTCCACACCACCTTGCGGTAGATAGCATGGTGCGCTTTTTTTATAGTGGTTTCCCCCATAGGCCTATTCCACTCTCAATTTAAAAATTATTCAAAATGCCATTTACTATACGCTGAATATATCGTAAATGTAAAAAATTAATGGACAGTACCTTTACAAAAATTCGTGGTTGAAAATTCCTCGATAAAATGTATTGCACACGTTGATAATGTGATACGATGATAAAATTCTTCAAGAATCCTTTCTTCATCTCGTACACGAAGACGCACTGCTGGACCGGTTATCCCGATATTATGCACGACACTCAGTTTCACATAATTATTGCACAACACGTAAAATTGTACGGCCACTTGGTTTTCGTGCACGCCCGAGAAATGATTCCATGTAAATTGCGGCCGCACGATAAGTATTTTCTCCCGCTAGTCCGTATGCCACAATCATATCCGTATATTCCTGCAGAGTACACTTCATTTTCACTGGTAATTAACTGCGCGAACATAAGATTTTTACTAAGCGTCTTAGCTCTCGCACGTTGTTGCCAGACTGCGTACGCCAGCAGCACGCAACTACAGCTGAGCGGACATGCGAGTGTAATCATAGTGCGCAGGCGTCGAACTCACACGTACGCTTACACTCACATGTCCGCTCAGCTGTCAGCTGTAGTTGCGTGCTGCTGGCGTACGCAGTCTGGTAACAGCGTGCGAGAGCTAAGACGTTTTAATAAAAATCTTGTGTTTGCGTAGTAAATTAACAGTGAAAATGAAGTGTACTCTGCAGGAATATACGGATATGATTGTGGCATACGGACTAGCGGGAGAAAATACTTATCGTGCGGCCGCAATTTACATGGAATCATTTCTCGGGCGTGCACGAAAACCAAGTGGCCGTACAATTTTACGTGTTGTGCAATAATTATGTGAAACTGAGTGTCGTGCATAATATCGGGATAACCGGTCCAGCAGTGCGTCTTCGTGTACGAGATGAAGAAAGGATTCTTGAAGAATTTTATCATCGTATCACATTATCAACGTGTGCAATACATTTTATCGAGGAATTTTCAACCACGAATTTTTGTAAAGGTACTGTCCATTAATTTTTTACATTTACGATATATTCAGCGTATAGTAAATGGCATTTTGAATAATTTTTAAATTGAGAGTGGAATAGGCCTATGGGGGAAACCACTATAAAAAAAGCGCACCATGCTATCTACCGCAAGGTGGTGTGGAAATGATAGCGCATCATTTTCTCGCCACGAAAAGGGGGGACGGGTCATTTTTCGGCGCGGTATTGCGATATATCGCAAACCACCATCATGTCTCGGAGAGCGACCCGCCCACCGCTTCGCCGCGTTCGTAGTATCGGATTACGGTGGGACGACTCTCGTCGCCGCGCGCTTTTACTCACGCAGATTGGCCGATCTTTTTTATTTAATATTTCGTTAATTATTGCGACAATCCCAAAGCAATACCGGTCATTTCTTGTTAATTCGAGCCAATCTACTTATTTATTTCATTAAGGTCGAAAATTTACGGACACCCTGTATATATATATATATATATACAAGGTGAGTCATTTTAATCAATACACTCGAATATCTCGAAAACAGCACTCTTCAGAAAGAAACAAAAATGTTTCAAACAAAAATTGTAGGGTGTGAAGGGGGACATAAGATGGTAGCATTGGTTTGACCTTGGAAAGTCATTTGAAGGTCACATAAAAGTCACCTTCAATTTCTTAAATTGAACCCACTATTTTTCATTACATATTCTTGTAGCTTATCTCGAGAGCTTTCCAAAACACTACAGACAAATATTTTTTCATTAAGTACTTTTTGAGTTATAAGGCTTCAAAGTTTGCAGTACTTCGATATAAAATGCAAAATATCTCGTAAAATATTTAGTTTTCGGTAGTCTTACCCTAATACTTTTATGCACAGGATAATGAGACAAAACTATTGGTGCAAAGAAAATGTATGATTGTTTATAATAAAAAATGTGTAATTTGCAATGCACTTTTTGTTATAAACAATCATACGTTTTTTTTGCACCAATAGTTTTGTCTCATTATCCTGTGCATAAAAGTATTAGGGTAAGACTACCGAAAACTAAATATTTTACGAGATATTTTGCATTTTATATCGAAGTACTGCAAACTTTGAAGCCTTATAACTCAAAAAGTACTTAATGAAAAAATATTTGTCTGTAGTGTTTTGGAAAGCTCTCGAGATAAGCTACAAGAATATGTAATGAAAAATAGTGGGTTCAATTTAAGAAATTGAAGGTGACTTTTATGTGACCTTCAAATGACTTTCCAAGGTCAAACCAATGCTACCATCTTATGTCCCCCTTCACACCCTACAATTTTTGTTTGAAACATTTCTTTCTGAAGAGTGCTGTTTTCGAGATATTCGAGTGTATTGATTAAAATGACTCACCCTGTATATATATATATATGTAAGTGTATAAAACGATCGTATGTTTGTGCTAGATTCATTAATTATTGTGAATCTCAAAATAAAGTACGAAACATTATTGCGTATGATCTTTTTTTCATTTTGATAATATTTATTATTGGAGTAATATACACATATTTATTTTATTAAAATACTTTTATTGAAATTATTAAAACATTAAATTTTATGTGAAATATAATAAGCATTTTAATTTTATATATATTATACACGCATATACATATATATTACTTCATAATATATGCTAAAGTGAAAAAAGATCACGCGCTGTTAATAATATATAATAAAAATTAATAAATGTATCATATGTTTCGTACTTTTGAGATCCACAATTATGGATCTATCACGGACATGAATCAATTGGTCGTTTTACCGTGGCAGCGAAAAGTGGATCCGGCCACGTAGTACCGCCGGCCGTAAAATGGATCCAGTTAGCGCCACTTTATGGCGAGGAAAAAGCGTTCCGTGAAAAAGGGCAGCGTGACCCCTCTCAGTCTTCTCTCTGCTCTGGCAGTAGGATTAATGGATTAAAGCTAACTTAAAAAATTGACCAATCACAGTCGAGTATTCTCTTAGTGCTTGACTGTGATTGGTCAATTCCTTATGTTACAGCTTTAATCCATTAATCCTACTGCCACTGTAGACGACGTGTCATCGACGTGGCACGTGGGACGTTGTCACTCGTCAATTGTCGGTTGTCGACAGTTGTTGATCAGTTGCCGGATTGGAGTTGTCAGTCGTTCGTGGAAGGTTGGAACGAATTTTTTCTGTGATCACGATATTCTATCGTAAATAGTTGTGATAAACAATTGTCGCGTTCAAGAGAAGGACTCGTGAAAAATGAACAAGATCTTCTTTTCGTACGCTTTAGCGAGCGTAATCATTTCCGTGGCTTTCGCCACAGATAAGGTCTGTCTGAAACCCGAAATCGTTGCCTCGTCGTACGTGACAGAAGACGCGACGGTCCTCACGAACGTCGCCTTCACCATGCAATTCGTGCTAAAATGCAGCAACGGTGTAAAAGGAATCAGTCTTTACGCTGAGGTCGAGGGCAAGTTATTACCGGCGGCTAGATTGAGTGCTGATAATAAATATCAGGTAACATGTCAACTGACCAGCCTGGATTTTAGTACAAATTAATTGAGTCAAGAAATACAGGGGGTCTGTTCTCTTCAGATGTACTTCTGCGCTAGTGCAATAAGTTAGAATGAGACAAACTTACTTTCTTTCACTCTAACTAATTGCACTAGTGCAGCAGTGCAGCTGAAAAGAACATTCCCAGGGTGTTTCAGAACCTAACCTAATTCGTACCATCCATTTAAAAATTAGAGAAGTGGTTATTTAAAAAAAGTAAAAACATTTTCTTTATAAATCGGGTGCGCTCTATTGAATGGTGATATTTTCAACTTCTGGTTCCGGTCGGAAATAGGCGATTCAGACCGGAAGTGTATTTTTTTAAATGGGACCCTCTATTTTTCATTGCATATCCTTGTAGCTTACCTCGAGAGCTTTCCAAAACACTATAATAAATTATTTCTCCATGCAATACTTTTCGAGTTATGAGGCTTGAAATAATTTCTTAATTTTACATAAATCATAAAATATCTTGTAAAATATTCATTTTTTGATTATCTTACCTTAATTCTTTTAAGTACAAAATAATGAGAGAAATCAATTGGTATAAAGAAAACACATAGTTGTTTTTAAGAAAAAAATATGTAATTTGCAATTAACAATTCCATATTTTTTCTTAAAAACAACTATATGTTTTCTTTACACCAATTGATTCCTCTCATTATTTTGTACAGAAAAAAATTAAGGTAAGATAATCGAAAAATGAATATTTTACAAGATATTTTATGGTTTATGTAAAATTAAGAAATGATTTCAAGCCTCATAACTCGAAAAGTACTTCATGGAAAAATAATTTATTATAATGTTTGGAAAGCTCTCGAGGTAAGCTACAAGAATATGCAATGAGAAATACAGGGTTCCATTTAAAAAAATGCACTTCCGGTCTGAATCGCCTATTTCCGGCCGGAACGAGAAGTTGAAAATATCACCATTCGATAGAGCGTACCCGATTTATAAAGAAAATGTTTTTATTTGTTTGAAATAACCACTTCTCTAGTTTTTAAATGGGTGGTATGGGTGGTCTGAAACACCCTGTATATTCGTGTGCATTAAACGAATATTGTAAATAAAGTCTTAATTACAAGAATAATGCAATTGATATTTTGTAACTCTTTCTCTTCCTTTAAAATTGACAGTGAAAATTAATCATCAAGCGTAGTACATATGTTTGATATATATTATAATGTATTGTGTATGTCATAGATATCTTGGACGGAAGATATTAAGAAAGCGAGATCTGGCGATTACTACATAAAATTATATGATGAAGACAAGTATAACGCTGTTCGTAAAGCTATCAGAAATGGAGAGAGTAGTGACAGCGTGAGTCCTTTGGCGGTAGTTGTTCTCAACAATCCAGGTGTATATCTCGGTCCTTGGGTGAATTCTGAATTTTTGGCTGCTTTCTTAGCTAGTTTTGTATCTTATTCGGCGTTTTCTGCGAAGTACAAACTTCTAGCGTAAGAAATTTTTGTTATTAAAAAATAAAATACTTAAATATAGCAAAAAGGAAAAGATTATTTATTCTCAGATCTCACATGCGCTATAAAATAACTTTTTCTTTTTTTATTTTTTTTTTATCTTTATATTTATTGTGAAGAATAATAATATAATTGCAAGGAATGTACCAAAATTTTATTATCCACATTTAAACTAGATATAATAGTTATCGAGTTTTTTTTATAAATATACCATTAATTCTAATTTTTATATTTTATACATTAATCAAATTTTCAATCTTACTTTAGATAACAAAACTACTTTAAATTGTGAAACTTTCCATCGGATATAATTTATGTTTAGTCTTGGCAAAAATATTGTGAAGTTAACAAAATAATATTAGATATATTACAATATATTTAATATATATTGTGTGGCGGCGGTTTCCCAAATAGGTGTTTCCAAGATGGTGGATATTTTAAATTATCACTATTTGTTCCTAATACACGTATCCATTGATTTAAATAGCACACCAGGGCTACCGCATCCGCGATATTATCTCCCTCGGAGCAGAATTTGAACAAGATGGCACAAGGAATATCGGCATGTGACAAAAAGTTAAATATACTCTTTGCGAATCCACCTCCTGGTATCTGTAACTTTCCCTCTTGCCTTGTATCAGATGTAACTTTTGGTTTATGCGAAATCCAACTGAGATCATCGAAAAGCTGTCCATTTTCAGATTGTATGCCAGAAGAAGCGACATATCTCAATTTAAGATGCTGTGGCTGGATATCTCTCTTCTCGTAATCGTAGCTGCTTGCAAGAATTATTACCTGTAGGAGAGAAGGGAAATGGACAATATTATATTTCATCAAAAAAACATATATGATACATCGGCAAAGTGATACATTACCTTAGCTATTTTTCTTTCAATGACAAATCGCACCAGGTGATCGAAAAATCCGGTTAACTCTCCCACATATGGCGAACGAATTTGCAGGACGACGACACATTCCTTGACTCCCACATAAATGTCAATCGCCGTGATAAGCTCGCTCGAGCCTTCGTGATAAGCATTTGCGCCGACAATAGGCACAAACGCCGGGCTGAAGATCTGTCCAATTTTTTGAAGGTTAAGATTGGAAATGAGCAAGTCGACGGATAATTGGCCGACATTTCCAACCGCCACTGACGGCAAAATAAGGGTATAATTTTGCAAATTAATATCCTCCATTAATCTAATCATTTTTTCCAGTTATCTTCTTATGTCAAAACGAGAGCCGAATATTCTTGCAAAGTAATGTGATGTCACAAATACAAATTATCCTGTCACTAATGTCAGATTAGATTAGGTTAGGTTAGGTTAGGTGTAAATTTCCCCTGCTCTTTCTACGCTTGGATACTTTGCTTCTTCCCTTTCTCTCCAACTCGAATATATTGGGCGTTAAAAAAGTCTGGACACGGTCGAATATCTCGATAAGAAAAAGTTTTGTTAGAAAGTGTTTCAGACAAAAGTTGTACGGCTTCGAGGGGGACATAACATGGTACCATTGGTTTGACCTTGAAGAGTCCATTTAAGAAATTGAAGGTGACCTTCATGTGACCTTCAAATAACCTTCAAGGCCAATGGTGCCATGTTATATCTCTTTCGAAGCCATACAATTTTTGTCTGAAACACTTTCTAGTAAAACTTTTCCTTATCGAGATATTCGACCACAGACTTTTTTAACACCTTGTATATCTGTCTTGTTTCAAGTACAGATAGTTTTAATTGGGTGCTTTCCATTTAGCGACACAAGTCGACACAAATGTCATTCTATCTTTTTTCAATGAATAACAATAAACAAAGATAGAATGACACTTGTGTCGATTTGTGTCGCTAAATGGAAAGCACCCATTGTCATTGAGCAAATTTGTCATTATTGGCCGTTTTCGGTGGACTCAACAGTTGGGCAACATTATTAAATTTTCCGATGTAATTCGATGCTGATTGGCCGATCTGAAAGTAGAAACCAATCACGTTCGATTGCTACCTAGCGCTTGAGTCACGATTGAGTTTGCTGAACGGCCATTGGTTCAAAGACGTAATCCTCCAAAGGCTGATGGCAGAGAACTAGACGTGAGCGCTTACGTCTGTCGTAGTCGTGAAGTAAGACAGAGAAAAACGTATGTCGTACAAGGCCATTGTGACATACGTTTTTCTCTGCCTTACTTTACGTCCACGACTACGACAGACATCTAGTTTTCTGTCATCAGCCAAACGCATAATTCTCCTGTCACAAATTCCCTATCGATCAGCCAATCGGAGTATTTGTCAATCTTGTTTCCGCATTACTCACGCGACTTTTTATGTACATACTTTAGATTTCGTGGCGAGGGTGTACGGACGTGATAGTAAAGTTAATAGTTCGATGAGATCGTATTATCACGAAGCTGTCAGATTGTTTTAAGGCGATTGAGAATCCGAGTGACACGATATGATGATCGGTGCTCACAGATGAAACGCGAGGACAGTTTCCCTTAAAAATGGTAAGCCCGCAAAAATCCACCTGTCTCGGATGAGCTGCAAAGATAACCTCACGTAAGGGACGGAAAATTACGTGCTCGTGAAAAAGGGGGGAAACTTCAAGGCGATAGGCTCCCGAGATATGATTTTTTCGAATTTTCGCTTGCGTTATCGCGCAAGTTTTCCGACTTGCTCCGTGAGAAACATTTGTAGCACTTGCACGTTTTTCACAGACGGAGAGAGACTCTGTCATATGGTGGCATGTCGTTGCTGTGTGCTGTTTTATTTTTTCCTAGTCTGATCCGAAAGCGTTTTTTGTGCGCGTGTGACTTTGGCTTGTCAATACTGTCAATTTGGCACGCAGTGTATAATCGGTATTTTCAACCAATTTCCTTTTGTACAAGAAGATGCAAGTCACGGAGATAATCGTCGACATAGATATATAGAGAAAAGGATAATATTTTTTATAATAGATTCATATCACGTTGTTACTGCTAATTGGCACATTCGTATAATCTACAGGGTGGCCCCGAACGTTCCAGCCAGACTTTGAGATCTTATAGGAAATTTAATTCTGAAGAAAAAATTTCCTATAAACATGGGTCGAAAAATTGCTTCCTTAAAGCCCGTATCTGACAATGCAATTTTTCGTGCAACTTATTGCAGCGACTTAATTGCCGCAACTTAATAGTTGCAGCAATTATTTGAATGTTGATCACACTACTAGACAACTAAAATAAGGTTAACTGAACTATTGCCAACTACAGAACAAAATATATTAAATAAGATTATGTTGGTACAATATATAAAATATTGTTGTCTCTTTTTAAAGCAAATATATATGTAACATATAAAATACAAGACTTATATTCTAAATTCTCTAAAAATATTACTACAATTGCATACAACTAGTTGTCAGAATTAGGACTGGATCTAAATCTTGTGCAATCATTGCAACCAAATTGCTTTTCAAAATTGCATAGTGTGATATAGAAAAAATTGCTGCAATTTATCACAGCAATCAAATTGAAGAAAGAGTAAAAGATGAAAAGAAAATGAAATAATATAAAAAAAGTTAGTTAAAAAAAATTATTTTATTTTCATAAAAGAAAAAGATTTTTACTTTTTATCGTTTTTTTCAAGAAATTTATTTAGTTTCATTTTCTTTTTATTTCATTTTCTTTTCACCTTTTGCTCTTCCTTCATCAGAGGTTTTTGAGCGATAACTTTTTACGGAAGCGACTTCGCCCCGATATTTTTCTCGTCTACATCTCTTCAGGGGGAGAAAGGGGGTTTATAGAATTCTCAAAAATGAGAATCTATATCTTGGTAAATATATCAAGTAAAACATATGTCTCGCGCACATTTAAATTTTCGCGAACAATTAAAAATTTACGCATTACCATCCACGATGGCTGTTATTCGCTAGTTTCTTATCGTGTTGTTTAAATACATATAGAGCCTAATTCCTTTCAATTTTCTTAAGGAAGCATTTTTCGACCCATGTTTATAGGAAATTTTTTGTTCAGAATTAAATTTCCTATAAGATCTCAAAGTCTGGCTGGAACGTTCGGGGTCATTCTGTATAACAGATGAAGTGTCATTTTTAATTCTGTGTATGTGCCACGTTAAAAATTTGCTATTTTAATTATATCGTGCAACATCCATTTGTAGGATTGAAGAAAATTAAAGCAAAGTAGCTTAGTAGTGTTATACATGGCATTATAACTTTCAATTTCCTCTCATATTCTTAATAATAAATTCTTAATAATATATTTATGAATAAAGAAACAATATTTAAAAAAATAATATTTTACTTGTATAAAATTAGATTGTCACGATGTCATGGAGAAGTTTCCACTGAAGGGTACAACGTTCTTGAACTCTACAATCCCTCACTCAAATGCAAACGCTGTTACAACATATCATTCGGTTGATGCAAAGGTATGCTTCATTTCAGTCTGCATCTTCTTGTCTTATATTATCTTGCTATTATATAGATATGAATCAATATTTTTTTAACATAAATATACAGGGTGTATCAGACCACCCGTGCCATCCGAATATCTCAAAAACCGAGAACGGCAGACACAAATGTTTCCTACAAAAGTTGTAGGGTTTCGAGTAACGCATTACATAGTAATATTAGTATGACCTTGAATAGCATTGTCAAAATCATGTAAAGATCACCTTCAATTTCTTAAATGGAATCCCCCATTTTTCATTACATATCCTTATAGCTTATTTCGAGAGCTTTCCAAAACACTATAATAAATTATTTTTCCATCAAGTACTTTTCGAGTTATGAGGCTTGAAATCATTTCTCAATTTTACATAAACATATTTTTACATAAAATTTACATAAAATATCTTGTAAAATATTCATTTTTCGATTATCACATTACCTTAATACTTTTATGTACAAAATAATGAGAGCAATCAATTGATGTAAAGAAAACACAATTGTTTCTAAGAAAAAATATGTAATTTACAATTAACAATTCCATATTTTTTCTTAAAAACAACTGTACGTTTTCTTACACCAATTGATTCCTCTCATTATTTTGTACATAAAAGTATTAAGGTATGATAATCGAAAAATGAATATTTTATAAGATATTTTATGGTTTATGTAAAATTAAGAAATGATTTCAAGCCTCATAACTCGAAAAGTTCTTGATGGAAAAATAATTTATTATAGTGTTTTGACAAGCTCTCGAAATAAGCTACAAGGATATGTAATGAAAAATGGGGGATTCCATTTAAGAAATTGAAGGTAATCTTTACGTTATCTTGACAACGCTATTCAAGGTCATACTAATATTACTATGTAATGCGTTACTCGAAACCCTACAACTTTTGTAGGAAACATTTTTGTCCGCCGTTCTCGGTTTTTGAGATATTCGGCTGGCACGGGTGGTCTGATATACCCTGTATATAAATGTTATTTTATTTTTTTAACAATCTCACATATCTTACATGTGTTCCTTGTATATTGTTGCATGTTAAAAATTGTCAAAAAAAAAGTTGATAAAGTATCTTTCATTCTTTGCATTAAAATTCAATTCTAAACTATGATAGATGATAAAAAAAGATGTAGAGCTTTGTAAAAGCTATAATAACTCTTACTGATGAAAAGTGTACATATATAATTTCCAGAATATAAAATATGGTGATACTACTAATACAGAAGATGTACGACTACGAACCGGAAGACGCGAGACAAATTTAAGCAGCGATGATGACATGCTAGATATCAATCATCCCATGTCTCATCATTCAGATAACAACATGTTATCAGATTGTGTTCGCATTGATGATGCCTCTTCCCATAGTAAGTTATTTACAAGTTTATTTTTGTTTATTTTATTAATGTCACAAACACATATTACACATCCGTTATTGGATGGGTATTGTGTAAAGTATTTTTATTTACTTTTAGCAAATGTTATAAAGAAACATGCAGGAAACTTTAAAATGTTAGCCATAAATCCATTTTTACAACTCTATTATATCTATCTTATTATATCTCTATTAAAAATTTTAATAGTTGTATAAACTCTATTGGTCCAATATATATCCCCTAGTTTGAAAAATATCATCATATGTTACTTCCTGTTGAAGAAACTTGAGGAATGTCTGTTGATCTATCCATCTAATGTGGTGACGCCTATTCTTGAGTGATACCAGTTAGAAAAAATTGAATCAAATTTCTTATTATTCACGGCATATCATAGTGACAAAATGTGTAAGTTAGCACAAATAATGCCAGTATATTTTCCTAAATAATATAAAGATATAAAGAGAGATACAATCGCAAGATAAATATGATATACAAATAGATATATCAGTTCTTATGTATTAATCAATTTGCAATTTGTTTTATGAAACAAAATTATTTTCTTGATAGAGTTTATTTAGTTATATTAAAAATATATTTTATTTAACTTTATTAAAAATAGACTGATTTTATGCATAAGTCTATTATGATTTCTTTGTCTCTTTAGCAAAATAAAATAATGTGTGTGTGTATACAAAAATTATATTTTTAAAATTAAAGTTTATATTTATAATTGCCTTGGGAAAAAAATACACACATACATATATACATACATATATGAGATAGACT